TGACACATTCCTGCATGCGCGGGTGAAAACAATGGGTGCGAGTCTTTATATATATATGATGCACTAGAACCAAATATGATGAGCTAATTGAAATTAAAATAGTGATTTTATGAAACCATATATATATATATGTAATTAAAACATGAACTCATGAAAGTCTGACTTCAATCAGCAATTTATATTTTCAATCCAACCTTCCTGCAACCGCTAACCAACTGATTTCATTCAACAATTGAATCAACAATCGAGTTCAAACAACAAAACAGCCAACCATATCACTGTCAAAATTGAGTATTAAAAATACAAAAACTTAGCAACAGTTAGCAAACGTACAACACCTTAGCTAACCTTAGCAAGTACACTGCAACGTTACCAAGTATAAGTACCACCTAAGTATGGCGACGCGTAGCCGGACTTAGGCCGTTTAGACCATACTTAGCCGCGATATCAGGAGAGCAACTCCAAAAGAGAAACAAGAGAAAAAGCAGCCACCCTCAAATTCAAAAAAATATAAATCCTGTAGAGGAATAGTTGGCCCTCGCTCCAAATACCAAAAATATCGAAAATACAAAAACACCAAAAATACAAATCCTGGCCCTCCCTCCAAATACAAAAAATAGCAAACCTCAGGTGGAAATACTTGATCACAAGGCCAGCACAAGGGGCCAACTATTCCTAGGATTGGTATTTTTTGGTATTTTTGATATTTTTGGTATTTGGAGAGAGTGCCAACTATTCCTCTACAGGATTTTTTTCGTTTTTTTTGGTATTTGGGGGAGGGCCAACTATTCCTCTATAGGATTGGTATTTGCAAGAAGCACGCCTTTTATATGAAAAAGGATCGCACTATTCCTGTACTGGATTGGTATTTGCAAGAAGCACACCTATGTGAAAAAGGCATCTGCAGGAAAACACTAAAAAACACGCTCACAGCGCTCCTTTCTGTTTAGAATATAATACCGTGTCCTCCAAGTATGTCCTCCAAGTCCATCGACTCACAACCTGAAGATGCAAACCACTGAAGAGGTCCCCCTGTTGAAGCAAAAACATGGATAGATCTCCATGCACTGACATCCACCAAAAGTTGGACATGGCGCGTGGGTCCAATAAATCCAACCACATGATCCGATCAGGCTCCAGCTTGGGTGTTCTAAGAACAGTGTTGACAAGGGGTTGAGGGCTGTCCATTGGACACAAAGAAGCAAGTGGATGAGCTGGAGGTCACCCCCTTTTTGAGAAACGTCCGGACTGGCCGAGCGAACATCAATGAGCCATTTGAGTGAAAGAAGGTGAACCCTTTCGTGTTTCGGACAACGGCCGTGGGGGCACGTATAGGTCATAGGGTTCATTCCCTCGCTTGCACGGATCATTTTGCAGATTGAATTGGGCTAAGAACCCAGACAGAATGCATGTCAATGCCGCATTGCCTGGCTGAGTCACACTCCGCACTCCAGGACCGCGAGTGGATTTGGAAGCGCTACGGGACCACGTACCGTGCCATTTACACACTCTATGAGACCTGGACGTGCTGAGCGGACGGTGACCTCTCGGTGTGACCCACCCTGCTCAGTCCGCCCTCACCGGAGGGCGGGACAGGTTGGGAAGAACGTGTTCCAGGAAGCCGAAAGAAGTCCTTGGGAAGTGGAACCTGTTTTGCGGCGAAGTGGACGACTTCATTTTTTGTTTTCCACTTCCATGAAGTCCTTGAAGTCCCTTATAAGTGGTCTTCCTGGAACATTTCCTCGGCCCCGGAAGGAGCACAATTATGTTTCTGCTATATGGGCGGGTTTTTGCTCGGATTCTGCGATCGATTTGAGGGAGAGTAAACAGATCTTGACATTTGCACCGGTCTGGGGCGAAGTCTTGGGGAAGAAGATGCCGAAGGACACGAGTCATCCGGACACGAGCAGTTACCATCGCGTGCGACGCTGCAAACGTCCGTCAAGAATGACTATATATATATATATAAATGTTCTGTGAACTTGTGGCCTCAGTAAGTCCAGTGCACCTTATCCCAGTATTTAAGTCGGTACATGGAAAGGATATGATTAGATATATTCTATTACAGAAAATGGTGGAACTCAGGAATCGTATTTGTAGGTCACTGGACGTTCCTAGGGGACCTGAACGTTCGTTGATCAGTTTGAGCCCACTCCACAGGCCTCACCAGCGCATGCCCCAGGATAGCCAGTCCTGGGCACGACCTACCTACAGTGGTTTCAGAGTGAATGGCACGGGAATCCAATGATGTGTTTTGTTTTTCTAATATGGGGGTCCAGGTACCTTCTCAGAAGGTACTTGGACCCTCCAAACCTACATAACAGTGCCTCCAATCACCGTAGCTGTATCCAGGTACGACTGGATCCCTAGGGGTGAAATATGGGGGTCCACTACTCAACCACCTTCACTTGGGGTAACGTTGCGCCATCGAACCCTGGTGGACTGCTCGCCCGTCCTAAGGAGATCACCTTTGCAGGCGCGCTGCGGCGCGAGGGAGTTCGGCGCGAGGTGGAGATGGACTGGTAAGACTGATTGACAGCAAAAAGGGCTGGTACCAGGACCTTCCCAGTGACCTTTTGAGATCTCAGAATGAGGCCACTTAGGCCTCGAAAAGGTCACTTATCAATTCTGAAGAGGTCACTGGGAAGGTCCTGGTATGCATTGTGAGCATTTGTTCAGCACATGGATTGCTGGCGATAGCTGGCGATGGCGCGGGCCTGCGTGGTTGAGACTCCAGGGTACGGGAGCCCATGCATCGCGCGAACGATGGTGGAAAACAAGAGTCTCCTACCCGAAACACCACTAGTTGAACCAAACAAGCATAGTTACACCTTATAAGGCTTACTTAGACAACAAAACATCAGGTTCACTTCGATTGAATGGTTTTTGAAGGCTAGGGCCGAACCGGCTTCGATGTGGTTCGATGATTTGGGGTGTGATCTCGGACTTTGGAAGGTCATTAGAACAAGCTCACCATTCTTCACCGCTGCGTTTTCATTAGAATCAGTTCCCATGCCCTTTTTGCACTTTGAGGCTCCCAACATCCTTTACATTGATCGCTGCATCCCCCACAGTGCCGCACACAGCGGCTTCGCTCTGGGTTGTTTGACCACAGTCGTTTTAACAAACCGCTGGGACCGCTGTCACAGGCAACTGGCCTTCCAACGCTCGTCCTGCACCTGGGCCCTTTAAAAGAAGCACGCGCGACTGGAGCATCAGAACTAGTGCAGCGGCACTTGTGCTCAGGGCACATTGGCGTGGCTGCCGTAGAAACCACCAAGCAAAATCATGCAAATATTATATTATATAATCCATTATAATCATACATTTCGAAAGAACCTGGGAGGGTGAGGAAGGAGATGCTTTGTACTTGAGTATTTGAGTACCGGAACTTTGCTGCGAAAGCTCCTGGTGACCCCCTCCAGCCGTGGAACATGAACCCAAGGTCTTGGACAAGGTGAGCCAGATGTTCGTCATTTTCTATTTGCAACTTGGATCTGGATCAAAAGGAGTTTCTATGTTTTTTTCTATTTGGCATATATTCTAACTTGGATTGAGTGATCTTTTGATCTCGAACTCTTGATGGGTGGAGATTGCTGCATCCTTCCCTGGACCGCGTGGGGGATGTTGTCAGGAAGAACCAGAGACCATTTGTGAAGATGTGGCAATTTGTAAAACCCCAGCCACATAGGTTTTATACGGCTTTATAGTCCAAAGGGATGGATTTGATGCATCAAGTTTACGAGCAAATTCCGAGAACCCAGTTCCTTGGCGTGGTGCTTCTGTTTTTCAGGGAGATGGGATGCACATAATCCGCTGATCCGCTCACTTGGGTTCTGAAAACTCCTTGGATGTCGATGTCGGTGTTCTTTTGTCCGGTGTCGGTTGAAGGGTTGATCATCTCAGGACTTTCCCTGAAATCGTCCATCTCTAGACACGTGGTTTCAAGAAGTAGATGGCACAAGATGCATTTCATTCATCTCGGGGGGGGTCCACAGATTTTCACCACCACTCCCGAACTTGGGTCACTTGTGCCAGAAGAAACCCCCCTTCCACCGTCAGTGGATGAGAACGGGTCGCCGATTCCATCGGATGACATCGGTTGATTCACTCCTCGAAGCCCACGTGGTTCGTGGTCCCAGAGCTTCCAGGCTCTGGAGAGGTGTGGAATGGTGTGGAGATTTCTCCGTACAACCTGGTCCTGAACACCCAAAATTGGGTAGTGTTGTTTGATGTTTTTTTCGGTATGCTGATCAACTCTTAGTAAAATGAGTGTTTTTTTGACTTGTAGGGCTAGGGCTAAGGGCGACTCTTCCAGCAGTGGTGGAAAGCACCATGACACCGTGGACAGCACCATGACACTGTGCCTGAAGCATCTGACGTTCGTTGTTCGAGATCCGTTCGTTGTACGCTCTGAGGCTTTATGTGACGATCATCGTTTTCGCGGTGATCCGAGTCATCAGCGCAATTTTTCTCAAGGCGGTGTGTGTGTGTGTGTCCGTGGCAAGGTGAGGCAGTGTGTGTTTGATCATCCGGGAACCTGATTTCATCGCCTGAATCCCGAAGAACCAGCCGTTTAACCGTTTGACTAAGGATGCTACACTACAAAACCAGGTTTCACCGACCTCCTGGTCGAACAGAAGGCTAGGGAGTATAAATATATGCTATGCTCGTATTAGTAGCGCCGCTCACCGCCATTCTTCACGGTTATTTGGAGTTTTCGAATCAATAAACATACACCACAACTGAAAAAGCGGCCTGGATTGTTGAACACCCGTGGGTTTTCCATGGATTTCTTTGGTTGGGGTGTGGATGGGGTATGATGGGTTGGGGTTTCTGGTCGGCGTTCAGCATGACAATCCACATTCCATCCACTTCTTCAAGACCAAGTGTGACTACAGAGGAAGACCCAGGTTTGCTTGGGGATTAGGGGGTCTTTGATGCTTCCAAGTGCCGCATGGTATGAACAAACCGAAGAAGGATTGTTTAAATTGTTTACCCTGAAACTTCCAAGCTTGCTTACATTTGATCACCAACAAACAATACTGGCCATGGCTTTTTGGTAGGCTATGGACCTTATAGTAAATGACCTGTCCCATTCCAAACCCATCTTGGCCATATATAGCTATCCTATATAGTTCCTGTTTGCTCATTGTCAACACCAGAGCATCCAACACATGCACAGGCAACACATGGGGTAGCCTTGGCTGCTATGCCACCAGGGCAAGCGAAAAGCGCTCCAGCTACTGACAGGGGGGGGGGGGAGGTTTTGGGGGGGGGGACAGTCATTCCTTTCAGACCTCCAGATCTCCAGATCGCCGGATCGCATGCAGGACACCTTGGATGAGGCGAACAACGATGCACATCAAATTGCCACCTGACAGGTGAACTTACGCGCTTGGACTTGGGCGAAGGGAGCAAACCAACACGAGGTGATGGAACACAAAACTGACGTGATGGAAGAATTTGGATTCTGAAAGGGGGCATGACCTACCTAGTGCTTCCTGTCGGGGTGCCCTGTCTGGAGACCTGTTTACGTCGTAGTGAGGAGATATCCAGCCCGGTGACCCCTAGCCCGGAAGGAGCTGGTCTAGTCCTGACCTACCAGGAGCTTCCAAGTTCGGTGCTTTTTGGACACCTAACCTCTCACCTCAGCCAGAGGCTATTCAGTCCGACACCTCTTGGAGGTGCTGGTAGGTCGCTTGACGCTTCTCTTTCACTTCTTGGGGACCCTTTTCAGGACCATTCGGACCCAGTCCCATGGGCCCAGATGACCCCCACCGACCGAGGAAGTGGTGTTTTCTTTTTGAAGAGGACTTTTGTCACATGGACGTCAGCACCCGACCGAGCCGACTGAAACCAGGTGTTTCCTGGTGACAACAGGACACTCCTGAAACCACCTGTGGTCAGGTCTCCAAACGCCCTCCTGGTCGGGTGTGCAGATGTGTGTCAAGAGAGCCGTGCGTCCGTGCGTCATCTCCGGTGTTGGATGAAGCGTACTGAGCTGTACTGTAGCAGTCCAAGTCAAGCATGTAGATAGGTAGAAAACTCGGTAGCACCAGCTCTTCCATTTGGGACCTTGGTACCCTGCTTGTTGAGTAAACCACGACCTTTGACAAGGCAAACAGCTGACGGTCCGCTCGAATTCCTAGTCGACGACACCGTCGGTTGACCGCCCTTATAGGTCTCTGTTCATGTGACTGGTGGTCTGGCCCAAGGTCCGGCTGCGCGCCCACAGACATTGTTTGGAGCACCTCAAGGGAAAAGTGGAAAAACCATGAAGAACACACCAACTCCAGTCATTTGTCGAAGGGAAACTTGCAGTTATTGCTGCGCACCATTGAACTGGCAAGACGTGGCGCCAAGAGTTTTGCGCATCCAGCTGCTTTGCTGTGAGTCGAGGTCCTCGATAGGTTGAGAAAGAAGGCAGAGTATGTGGAAGCTCAGCGGCACGATGTGGAGATGGCCACTGCTCATGTTCCAAAAGCCAGCCGACGAGGTCTGAAGTGAGTTGCTGCCAAGGAAGTGGGTATTAAGTCAGGCCAGAGGGCTAGTGGTTTCTACTGGGTTTCGTTCCTCCCTTCCTAGGTTTATGTGATGTTATGGTGTTTTCCATGTGTGTTCCACTCGCAGCCTCGAACAGTGACTCGGTTGGCATCCCCGCCGTTGGATTCCTTAAGATTCCGATGGAGGAACGGCCCTCAGTCGCTATCCGGATAACCCAAATCCTTTTCTGGAAGACCCGTGGCTTGTCAGGTCAATCCAGGATTGTACCGAACTTGTATTTTTCACCATGGTGCCTTTCACCACCTGGGGGCAAAGCCTTTCACCACCAGCTCTTTTAAAGGCCCGTGAAACAACTTCACCCGCTGTGCTTTCCTGAAACATCCACCCCTTCCCAAGGTCCAACCCGTCCGACCGGTCTACCACCCGTTCCGTCCCAGCCGTCGGGTCCGGTCCACCTTACTCATCGACTCAGGATCGCTTGGAACAAACCTTCCACTCCATCGCCCCTCGGCGCCAACCGATCCGGTCAAGCAGAGCATCGCAAAAACAGATTTCAGTGGCAGACACGACGAATGGGACTGCCATGTCGGACTGCCGATGTATCCGGCCAGGGGTGGTTGACTGGGGGTCAATGGGGCGGCATATATGGCATACATGGAGTGTTTGGGAGGGGCATCAGCTTTTTGGCCTATATAGGCCTATAGCCTACCACGGGCGCCCGTACATGAGGAATTCGAGGATTCAAGTCTGTCTCATCACTCACTTCTGAAGAGGCCATGGACCTCCTATAGGTCAATCAAACATCGATGGCCCCGGATCTGCCGGCCAGAAAAAGGATCCATCGCATTTGAATGCCTTTAGACCCCCAAATAGATACTGTCACTGTAATAGAACAGTTGATGCCCACTCAAAAAGTCTTGCCTGAGCACTCTATTTCTTTTGCTTCCTTTTGGCAACCACGATCTTTGTGTTTTCTTTTTTACCCCCCTGGGACGACTGGCACCGTCTTTCTTCGTCTTTTCGGCCACGACCACGTCCAAGGACAACTCCGAGGACGGGGTCTTGACCGAGGCCCGTTTGACGGAGGCCTTGGCCAATCCGCGCCTGGGACGTGGTGATGCAAAGGGGATGTTCTCAGCGAAGTACCGGGGAGAAAACCGGCCAAAGCCTGGGACGCACTAAACCAGAACAGGTGTTTCCACACTAAGACCTGGTGTCTCTTTAATGCGTGTGTTCGGCTTTTCGACCCAGAGTGTCGGGGGCTTGCTGGGAAGAACCTGGCGGACAGATGGAACAGGTCGAAAAGGGCAAGAACGTTTTAATGTTCTACCTGGACCCTGAAGAGTTTACTAATTTTTGAACTGTTGGGTTTGTGAACGCAAAGACGCAAAAAGCCGCAAATCCTGAAAAGCGGGCTGAATGTTCCAGTTGGTCCAAACGTGAAGAAATCACTGAGTGGAGGACAAGATCATATATCGAGAGCAGATTCTTCACCACTCCATGCTTGGCTTTAAGATACGCATGATCTCATTGTAGAATCACCTTTTGAGAAACACGATTGACAATAGATGTGCAAATCCATGCTTATCAATTCTTTTTACACCTGTCCATCCTGTCACAGATTTTGACACCTAACTTGGTGTTTCTTTGGCATAATTAGAAAGATCCATCATGATCTGTCAATGAGCTGCCAAATGAAATCCCACATGCCATATGCATGTTTTGGTGTGGATTCAATACTATTGCATTCAATATATTTCATACATGGTCACACTTTTCCCTGCACAACCACAAAAGAAGCGTACGCAAATATCCGCAAAAAGTACGCAAAACCCCGCAAGAGTGCACAAAGTGGGATTTCTGTGCAGTTTCAAATTTAGCAATTTAGTGGCCTACCATCATGAGAAGTTTTGACCTGGAGCTCGTGGGATGGAGCAAACTAGTGTGAATGCTTGCCACATACGGCAATCTTGAAGTTTCACCATATCCTGTAGGTTGACAAGTACCCAGGGTGGCAATTGGCTAGAAGTGTACTACACACTCAAAGAGCCAAAGTCATTATATTGTATCGTACAACTCTTGATCAACTCCTCGTATGGCTCAAAGATTCGTACATAGGTGATCATGCACCAAGCGTAGATGTGCTTGCTGGTGGGAATCATTTAAGAAAGCGTCCAGTTTTGCTTTGGAGTGTACAGTTTTGGCTTGAATCGTTTAGATTGGCATTGAAGTGTTCCAAACGGCCCAAAAGGATAGAAATGCCAAACGTACAGAAATTATTGCACTTTCAAGGGTTCAGGTAGGTGTTTTTCTAAATAGGAAACCGAAGGAGTCGGTCATCGATGGTCAGAAGTGGGTGAGTGGATGTCGAACTCGACTTGAACTGGCTGGGCTTGGGGAGCTGGTGGCTGGAATTGGAAGGCTTTCTCCATGTTCTCCCTTAAAGCAAGTTCCGACATACCCTAGGGCTACCTGGCTGATGTTTTGGGTTTGTCACCTGGCATCATGTCAATTGAAGTTGGGATTCGGAATGATTCAGATTGAGTTGGAACTGAGGAAGGTGAAGGCCTATTTTGCAACCTTGGAGATTGATGCGACTTGGCCAGCCTTTGAAGCTACGCCAACGGGGCAGGCTTGGCACCTACACATTGGCACTCCTGAACCCACGGGAGATTGGATTGTGGGAGCATATGTATTTTGAACAGCTTTCCATTGCTATTAGGTTCGAGGCCATCGCTCTTAGGTTGGAGGCCCTCGCTATGTGGTTATGATGCCAACTGAAGCTTTGTGGCCAGCCCCCTTCAGAACTCCCGGGCAGCCAAGAGTCTTGAGAAGTCCACTTGGGAACCCCCGTATGTTTGGGAATTGAGCCAAGAGTCTTGAGGGGTATAGGTGTTATCAGTAAGTTATTAGGTGTTGGCTGCAACTGTTTATTCGAGATAGGTCGTTGACTGAATTTTAGCATCTGAGTTGAACAGGTGGAAAAGATTTATTTAGCTCCCTCCCGTCCCAGGAAGCAAAGCTGTCAACTGCCGCATTGTTGGTTGTTGTTGTTGTTGCTGCTGCTGCTGCTGCTGCTGCTGTTGCTCTTGCAGTTGCCGGTGCCTTTGTCGTTGTGGTCGTCGTCGTCGTTGTTGTTGGTTGTTGTTGTCGTTGTCGTTCAAAAAAACAACATCAGGTTTCGGCTACTCGTATCTTCGCTGTCGTATGTCTTTTGCAGCTATGTATGAGCTCAAGATGTTTTCGAGGTCGAGGGCGCGGTGCTCCACCTGCAAAGGTGGATCAAGTGAAAGCCTTCGCTCCCGCAGGCAAGAAGACCTTCACCAATGGCGAGAAGTTCCGCAGGAAGCGCAAAGCTCCAAGCGCGGTACTTCCCAAGATGAAGAAGGAGCTCGCTCTGAGTTGGAGCTCAGTTGCTGAGAGGCTAAAATATCTCTCATCCGGCTTGTGTTCCATGATTCCTTCTTGTGCTACATTCACTGTGGCTAATCAAGTTAGGAAGTTCAGGGCAATGCGGGCCTATGCGGCTATGGTGGGCTATTGTGCAATATTGTGCATTCCGATGGAGATTGACCACGGACGTGCCCCCATGAGCTTCAGGTAGCAATGCCTGACAATTTCCGACCCAGAATGTTGAGCTCACGAGACAATGTAGTCCAAACCAACGTGAATACAGTGATGCACAACTTCACTGGCAGCCGCGAGCTTGGCAGCTCAGTGGTCACCCGATGGACAGACAAATATAAGTTTGCACCTCCAGCAGACACTGGTGCAGCTGACTACATTGAACGGTTGCTCATCCCAGAAGGATCCAGGTACACTTGGTACTACAACATGCACCCCAGTGAACTTATGCTGATTACTCTGCTATGGCAGCAGGAGCTAGATCGACCGGTTGCCGTCGTTCTGGCTATGCATTGGCCAGCAGCACAAACTGACCCGGCTTTGTTGTGGCAGCAGGCCCGATTGAGGCCATGGACTCGGAATCTTTAAAAGAAGATGATGAAAGCAGAAGGTGGTTGTAAACAATCAGCCGAAATTGGATGGAGAGGTGGCATCGGTCGAATCGTTCCAGAACTCCTTGCGAACGCTACACAGTGGCATTTCGCAGAAGCATGTATGACTTCTCGCGTCACAGACGAGTTGACCAAAGGCTGCGTGGCAGATGACAAACTCCACAACTTCAAGTGCTGAAAGTGCGAGATTTAGCATCAAGGTTGGATGCCGCTGCATTCCCCTACGCAGTGATTTCAATGCAGTATTTGGGCTCTAAGAAACACCATGACACCACTTATCGCTCATGCGTGACACCAAGCCTCTACCCAGTCAAGGGTGCTTGGATCACCCTACGCACTCGGAACCCTGTTCCCGTGCATGGACTGGAGCTGCAAGCAGCTGAGCACTGCTATGCACTGCTGCAGGGTTTGTTGTTGTTATTGTTGGCATGTTTGATGGCTTGCCACCAAACGCTACCCCTCACGTGGCCCAGCATTGTGTTGCCAGCAGCTACGGTGGATCGCTTTGGATAGCGGGCGGCTTTGCGAACCCCCACCCGCCCACCCACCCACCCACCCACCCCATGCATGTATACTGCCGCAGGGTGCCAGGGTTGGGCAGCAGGCGCCTGCCTGCCTGATTGTGTGGCTGGCTGCAGCGCAACCATTGCAAAAAGGAGAGGAGTGGTGGGTTTTGGCAAGGTTTTGTTGCTGTTGCTGTTGCACCCCTTTGTGCTGCGCTCCAACCCCCAACCCCCCTCCCACACACAAAGTTTTCCGATGCTCTGCCTGTCGCACAGTCCTGTTTTTCCGAGCTTGGCCACCGTGGCTAAGTGGACCCTGTTCTGGTCCACAAAGACCTTGCGGATGAGCCGGCTAAATACCTGTGTTCCAAGACGGCCGTAAGGCGACCCAACTCTGTGTTCCACATATGACCGCTCATCGTGTGTTCCAACATGGCCGGTCTACCTGGAAAGGGTTAGGTTCAGTAGTAGTAGCAACTTCTTTTGCGCAACCTTTCTTGCCCCGACGGGCCCCCAAGGTGCAGGAAGGTGCCGCTTTATTCCACTTGTTGGACAACGGAGATGGTGAGGCAGAGAACACACCGGAATTTGTCACAAGGCGGTGACGCACGGGGGCTGAGAGCCTAGAAAATGTACGAACAAGTCATCATCTACCCAGGCAGTGGTTGCTTTGATGTTATTCATATTGTTTTTCATCAAAGCCGCGATTTCGATCATGATTTTGGACTCTTTGACTGGGTGGAGACTTGCAGTGTTTCAAAGTTAATCATGGGTCAGTTTGTTTTTCGGGAAGCGGATGCGGTCTTTCCTCTCAACCTCATTTCTACGTTGCTCACCACCTCGCGAACCAAACACATGGCCACCACACATGTGACACCTCCGCTCGGGGTGAGGACTGTTGCTCCTCCGGGGACGCCGGAGGGACGACCCGTTGAAGTGGTGGAACGTGCTTGGGGGCGTGGATGGCACCTTTCGTGGGGAGGAGAAGCAAGAATAGAAGTTTAAAACCCAATTGCAAAGCTGCAAGGCCGAACAAAAAAGACTGTAGAACAAACATTTCGATGGAAAATTGCATCAAGTGTTTGCTCCAATTTTTTGGGTGGGGGTGGGGAGACCAGATTCTTGCTTTAATGCAGAACACATGCCATCCCCACCCCAACACCCCAGTCTCAACGTCGCCCAGTCCTTTGAGCATTGGGAAACACCCATCGACCTCAGCACTTTGATCTATTCAGAACAGACTCCAGAACAGCCAAAAACAGCTGATAGTGCTGGTTGGAAGACTTTATGTTTATCCTCCGTGTTCAATCCATTGGATTTGGATCATGTGGAAGGCAAATGAGAGCATCCTAAATCCGGGAAACCCAAAAAAATATCAGCCTCGACGTTCTGTTCTCTGTGCTGCCACAGGTCACGTTGGACGAGTTCATCTCTGGGGTGATGAGATGCTCCTTGTGTGATTGAGATTCCCCCTTGGGTGACGAGGTGAGAGGCCTTCACGGCCAGGCCTAGTTGAAACTTTGTATTCCCACAAAAGTTCATTAAACCATATTCAGAGAATGAGACGTGAGACATGTTTTCGGAACACAACTGGGAGTCTCGTTGGTTCAACCATCTACTTGATCAGCACGTCTCGGACGGGCCGATGAAAAGGGAATACCCAGTGGTTTTGTGACAACTAGGTAACTAGGAACCATACAATCATGTTTCAGCCATTATTGGGCTGACCATGTGTTTTTTAGGGCATGAAAGGACCATCTTCTGGAAGATAGAGGAGGTTTCAATAAGCTTCCACATGATTGACATCTTTGAATGCTATTTGAATGCTCACTGATTCAACTCACCAAGCACTGTAACCTCCCACTGCCTGATGACTTGATGTTGACTGGATCAGTCGGATCAGTCACCATTTCCCCACGATTGTCACTTCCTTCCCCCACCCAGACCTCTGTCGCTCGTGCCCGCTACGAACCGAGGCAAAGGTCCGGCCAAGGCCATCGATACCTTCGCCCTACAACGAGACTTGGGGAAGTTGGACCACAAGGCACCCGCGTTTCGCTTCGTTCGCGCGCCACCCACGCGGTTCCTTCGTTCGGTCTCCGCGTGGTTCGTACCGTTCCTGTGTCGGACGGTGTGCGGAGCGGGGGCCGAACGGGGTTGGGGCGCCCCAGCGGGGCAAGTGGTATGAATTGGGAAGATGAAGATGTGGGAAGTGAAGGGAAGTGGCGAGTGTTTGGAACCCAAAGAACGTTTGGATTCCGTCTTGGTAGGAGTCCATTCTTGAGAATCTGATCAGCTGAATCAGCTGATTCGGACCCCTGTGTTTGTTCATATGTTCTAGGATGGCAATTCGACGTAGCTGGATCACGGGGCAGCAAAACAGACAGGGCCAGCCTAATTGCTGGTCGGGTTTTGTTCGGAAATACATGTTTGTTAGACTCTTGAATGCATTTACCCTCTGACTCACTAACATGGAAGTGGACAACCTGTTTGTAGATAGAGGACGATGGTCTTCCCAGTGGCCAAAACGTCCATTTCCATGTGTTCTGTCCGGCCGTAAAAGGGGGCGTTGACGTGTGTTCGTCTCCCGCGACGTGTTGGACACCGACGTCGGACGGCCCTGGGCCCAGATCTCGAAACTGGTGGGAAAGTTGGAAGAAGTGCAGGCTGCGAGCCCCTTTAAGGCGCGTCAAGTCAAGCCTCCGCGGTGGTTTGCACCGTGATTGAACGTGCCTTTCCGCTCGCGTGTTCCACCACCGGTCGTGGGTGAACGTGCGCCCAGCAGGGGTCGCTGGTGGGACCAGCGACCGGTGGCCTGGAGTTCGATGCAGCGAAGTGTCCAGATGTGGGGGAGATGGCGACCTGGGAACCCCAGATTCAAAGCAAACAAATCCGGGCTAGTAGATGACCTCCCTCTAAGGCAGGAGGTGTTGTTTGGGATTGGTTGAACAAGCTGTATTAGTTAGTACGCTACAATTTTTGAAGGCTTGAAAAAAGGGAAACCGGAAACCATATATATAATATATACTGTTTGGGTTGATTCACTTCACGCGTTGACCCGGGCTTCTTGTTTGGCTTGGCCTTCTTGTGCGCGTGGGTGGCTGGTGTATGGATGGTTCTGTCCCAAAGACGGTGTTAGAAGATTTTTACATAGTTGTACTAATTGAGGGTATCAAGTGCCAGCGCAATGCTATAGTCTACAGTTTCACGTGCCCCGTGATCCAGCCTGTTCTTGATGTGGGTGATGGAATTGAGCCTTGGTGAGCTACTGGGCTGAGCCAAACCAAATGGTTCAGATGTGAACGGGCTTGACCAGAGAAAGGAGTCCTACGTAAATTTACCTGAGCCTCTTGCAACTGCCCGAAGCCTTGCGAAATCACAGTTCATTGTTTGTTTGACTGGTTGCGGGAGTTCAGCCAGGCAGAGAGGTGTTTGCTATTCCAGTTTCTAAGATTGTCCTGTTTTTCAGTCGTGCTCCACACCCACACCAGTCCATTCTGGACCAAAGCCTTCAGTCCTGAAAATCTCATGTTCGTCGATGTTTGTAATGTTTTTTATGACCAACTCCACCGGGATCATCCTGTCTGGGTGTCCATTAAATAGACTACCCTACCCTACGTAAACAGGTCTCATTGGGCACCTGTTGGAAGAGCTAGGCAGTTCAATTTGGGTCAATTCCATTTCCCTGGTTGGAGCCTATGGTCATCCCAGTCATCCACTTCGCAGCCCATGGGTCCTAGTCCTTTTTGCATCGATACATGTTGGAACCCCTGAAATAGAGTGGAGCAGTCATGATGGGAACACGTTCCAAGCTGCCAACAAGTGCACATGGAAACAAATATTCCATGTCCGGTTTTGCTGTTCTTTCGGTCCAGTTGAGTATATAATTATACAAGGAGATCATGGCAGTTCACTTGTGGGGGCCGCTGGAGGTACCAATAAGTGGACACAAGACTACGTTGCCCAAAAGCTTCAGACAATTCTAGCGCGGACTTTTTGCTTGCGGGATTGCAACCTTGAGCTTCCGGAACTGAAATGATTTATAGACACTTTCGATACACTTGGCATAGAACTTCCACTTGCTTTTCGGCAGAACTGGTCCCTTTTGACGATGACTCTTTGGATGTACTGTCACCTCGGAGAACCGAAAAAGAAACACCTGGAACCTGATGACCTGGGGCCTTCTCAGAGTCATCCACCTCTTTGGTCAGCGGCGGTAGACACCACTCCGCCGCCTGAAAGGCAGCCCAATATGATCGACACATCACGCCACTGGCCAGTGATCTCATGTTCCTTGGTTCTTTCAGCTGCCTTCCACAGGTGTCGTTTTCTGCAAAACATGCGGTTGTAATTTAATTGGCCGTTCATTTTGATTCAATTTAATTGCGATTTGGTGCTTTGTGATACCTCAGAACAGCCAGTGATTTCCTGCACGATTCCTATAGTTGGACACAACCAATAACCGCGTTAGGCGTTATTTAATACTACTTGTAGTGGCGGTCGGACCAGGAGTTTCAAGGTCTCCAGCCACACATGAACAGGACTTGCCCGCACAAAGGTGCGCGCTTCCTTTGGAGGTCGGTCTGACCTATTTGAGCTTCCGGACCCCTCCAGAACGGGTCGATACTGAGGATGGGGCTTGGTGGTGTAGGCAGCGTCCCATCTTCCTCGTTGCCCTCCAAGCAGCCGGCTTGGGCCCAGGCGCCGCACCGTTTCACAAGGGTCGCGAGGAGTGAAACTTGATGCGGAAGACATGGATCTGGATCTTTGAAGGACTTACTACTAGGAGCTAGAAGCTACTAAGGACGCTACGAATGAACCTTCTGGCCTTACTAGGAGCTTTCCATGTTCATGTTCGCCACCAGTCGAAGAAAAACGCCCCCACCAGAACGTGTGGTCCGTGAACCTCGAATGAAGTCCTCTTTATCGGCGCGTTCCTCGGTGTCGATCCCCACGCTGATCCTCCGAACTTCTGAGAAGCCCTGCAGAGTCTCTTCGGGAGGGATCGGATCAGTCTATAGACATCATAGAACTGGGAGCTGAAGGGAATCCGCCTCGATCCCCTTAAACTTGGAGGTTGTTCGAACAACTCGCAGCGGGCACATCCCACTGCCAGTTGCTCCGAACCATCCCGGTCCGAAGCGTCCGGCGGTTGCCCGTCTTCCCGGTCCTCCCGTGGTGTTTGCGGCACCCGGTGTCAGGTGGGTGCTGGTTCGCCGGTGCTCGTGGCGAACCAATCGCCAACCACCTCCACACAGCTAGGGCTCTTGGTGCCTTGGTGGTTGAGTCTGCGCGGGCCGTTGGTTGGTCCAACCGGGGTTCGGTCTGATTTCAGATCACACCGTGGTGTCCAGTCCAGTGCATCTCCAAGTTTAGGTCGACTTCTGAAGGAAGTTGCGGGTGACAGATGTGAGTTGCAAGATATAGACATACTAGATGGAAAAGTTGGTCCCCACCTGAATCCGTTTCAATTTTCCAAGTACCTTCTGAGAAGGTGTTTGGGGTAGGTGCCAGGAGGGTCTAAACACCTTCTGAGGAGATACTTAGAGGTGTAGGGGCTATGACCCAGTTCTGTTCAGTGAGTCCAGTTCTGGCGTGTTTCGGCAGTTCGGCGACGCTTCACGACTCTAGCGGCTTGGTCTAGCCCCAGGCGCCTCCATCAGAGGGTAACAGGTGTTTGGATGGAATCGATAGCACGATGTTTCTGTAGGTGACTTGGAGAAATCCAATGTGATAATGTGATCGTCCTCCTCCTCCTCTCCTGCTCATCTCCTCCTCCTCTCCTCCTCCTCTCCTCCTCCTCCTCCCCCTCTCCTCCTCATCCTCATCCTCCTCATCATCCTCATCCTCATCATCCTCCAAAAGCAGCTCTATCTTGTTGAAGGGAAGAAGGCCCAACCGTCAGCAGTAGCAGACACGAGGCCCAACCCACGCTCCTTTGAGCACCACCACTAAGCCAGCCCGGTAGGCAACGGGCTCGTACTAGATGCCCGAAACATCCAAAAACAACAATGGACACACCTGCAGGAAACCTGTTATTTCACCGCCCAAAGTTAAATTGTGTGTGTTGTTTTAATGGTATATAGGTGTTCCCTTGAAACAATGAAGCACAGCCGCTGGGCGACTTAAACAGGTCTTCAGATTTGGGGCCAGGTCTTTTATTTACTCATATGAGTTCTCGTATACTTTCAAGGGGCAGACTAGAGTCTTTGGACGTTGCTGATGTCCTGAAATGTCAGAATATTGTCAGAAAAGAGGTCCAACATTCACTTCCCCTACACCTCTAAGTACCCTCTCAGAAGGTATTTAGGCCCAAACACCTTCTCAGACGGTACTGACTTAGAGGCCTAGGTTCATTCTCTGAAGAAGCAATTGGACACTTATATATATATCTTCTCCAAGAAATGTCAATCAGCCTCACAGTTCTCCAACTGTTTTTAATTGCTAATAACCACTCAGCAGCTCCAAAGCATCCCCCAGTTATTCCAAACACTTCGAAATAGCTTCTTTGGAAAGCATTCGAATGCTTAATTCTTAGATCAACGGACTCGTTGAAATGGTGTTTCAAGGTGTCAATGAATCGTCTTCCTTTCCCGGCCTCACTCCGACCTTTCGCCCGCCCCGAACAGCCTGGTCCCGTTTCTTCGACCGTGGTCCGGACACCGACGACCGCATCCCTCGGCGGATCGGCGGATCGGACGACCTCCCCGGGGCCGCTGCAGGTGAAGACGCCCGACACGAAGACGCCCGAGCGCAAAGTGCCTCGGTACGGTGGCTGCGACCGGGCCCCGAAGCGCAGGGGATCGGTGGTGGTTCGTTTCGGATAGAAACATGTCGATTTGGGGCTTGTTGCTACGGTAGAAACATGCCTAGAACCTGCGTGAGGCCTCGTTTGGAGGATCATGGAGGATCAACTTATTGCATGTTGAATCATGTTGACCCTGGAAGTCAAGTCTGGTTTTGTAGTGTAAAACCCTTAGTGAAACAATGGTTGTTCGGTAAAGGCTATTAAAACAATGATGGTTCGACTTCTAGGGTTGAGATATCCAAAAGGAGGTCCAATGAGTTCCTATATCTGTGCACGTGTTGTTGGTCTTGTGCCACTGGTAAAGACATGGCGCTACCACAAAACGGTATTTCTCACTCCATGTGCTTCACGTCTTTTTGACCGCACATGGCATTCAATTTCACATCTCTCCACTCGACCTGCGGACCTGAAAAGGAGTCCCGGTTCGAACTATGGGACATAGACATCATATGACATAGGCAGCAGTTTCATGTCGGTGTAATGATTGGAGGAAGTCGAGGTGCCCAATATCCTTTCACTTGGGGACAAAAAACATCTAAAGAACATTCCTTTGGAACTGCTGGAATATATGATTGTCGGTGATGTTTGTTTTGATGTTGACACTGGATCTCTGCCAGCATGCCCCCTAAGACTCAAGGGGTTCCAGGCTTTGTGTCATTTACACGCTAGAAGGCACTCCCAAGCCAGGTTTGATGGTTTCCAGGGCCCTGGCAGGGTATTCTGTGTGCCATTAGCAGTGCAGGATCTTTGTGGGTTGTACGTGCCTAGAAGTCTGAGATGCCCCATGGTCATGGTGTGCATCCCATCATCTTCAGCACACCGTCACCCAGGTCAGCGTCTAAGACGCCGCGTAAAACAGCAGAGCCCCGCGGAGCTGGAACACGGTCGCAGTGGCAATTGCATGGATGCATGATTGATTCAGAGCTCCAACGAGATGCAACGGGCTCTCAGCTCACTTATCACATCTGGGTGTGTATTTAAATGTGGAGACCTTCCAGTGAAAGACCCCCTGGAAGAAGGGAACGAATTTGACCAGTCTACCATTGCCAGACACTCCATGTATGGAATATACCTTGACTATGATAACCACCCACATTTAAATGTAGTTATATAAGTAATTTTATATAAATATGCCATATACTCATGCTCATGGAGTGGTGTTTCCCTATGAAGATGCACGCCTCCGACTGAATCGCGGACTCCGACTGAACCCGACATCAAAAGAAGGTCCGGACTCGAGACGCGCGACATCAAACCCATCGAAGCCATTGGATTCAGGGTTTTTTTTTTTTCCGGAGCACGATGCAAAAGGACTGAGCTAGTGTTCGAATTGGGTCAATTCAGCTCCCTTCTTCACTTTCAATCCGAAGGTGCCCAATGGTGTGACCATGTGTGACCGAATCTGAGATGATGGTGAGATGTAGCTACTATAATAGGCCAGAGAGTGAAGCTACATAGCCCAGAAAGGGGGCACCACTGTATTGAGAGAAACTCTTTTTGGGTGCAAAAGTGGTGATCGCTTAAGAACAACTCCTCAAGGTCATCTGCAGTGAGCAGCGATTTGGGCGCATTCATGACCAGCACCCTGAGCACCGTACCTCCCAGAACACCACAATGAACACCAAAGAATATCCCCCGTGCCTGGAAGTCTTGGTACGCGTACCAACTCTGGATCTATGAAATTACAAGCACGACATATTTGTTGTTCATTTTTGTTCCCTCTTTGGGCTGCTTGGAGACTTTTGGGCTATTCTGAGGCACACCGCGAGTTTCTCGCGATGGTGCCCAACGGTTGATTGGCCTTCAGAGATTCAGATTTACATGTTACATGTCATCAGCAAAGAATTGCTACCAGGAGTCACAAAGGAGTGGTTTTTAGTCCTCCAGTGAGTGGAGTAGCTGGGCACCCCAAACCTCCATTAAGCACCCCGTCTTGTGACCTCTGGTAGGTGATGGTTTCGGATATTTATATTGTCCGCCCTTACTTTTGGATGATTGAACCCACTGCCACTGAATTGTTCAAGTGGGTTGAAAGCACCAACCAGATGAGATCCACCAGCTTTAGGCCGCATAAAACCTGGGTCACTGCGTCCGCCGTCGTTTCACCGAGCCGTTCGCCGACGCTTTAACAAGCCTCCCGGTGGCGGTTCGCGTAGGACCCGTTCGTGCAAGCCGCGAGAGGCTCCTTTTTTTTCAGCCAGGTGTGACACCACACCGTGCGGAGAGTTAGGTTTTCCTGGGAGAGTTCTGAGTTCTTATAGTTCATCTCAAGAACAGACAGTGCCAAGATCATGTGCAAGATCATGTGCCAAAACGTGCGCATCCCAACCAGGAAGCCACCCACCCCCTTGGGCCCTGGGGCACCTGCTCGCCGCACGCGAAGTCGCGCGATCCGCGAAGAACGACGACGCTTTCGCCGCTGGGCGGTCGTGGCCGTGGGAGCAGCGGCTGGTGATTCAAAGGCAGCGAGTTCCCGCCTTTGAAAAGAGGTCCTGGCAAAAGTGGTTGGACTTTGGGCGAGTGATGCCACAGTAGCAGGGGTCCGGGTTGATGCTTGATGAGTTGCTTGATGGTTTTTTGGGTATTGGTCCACTTTTCCACCCACGCTTCTTCGAAGTTCCATTCCGCGGAATGGATGAGATCGTGGACGTTTTCACACCGAGGCCGGTGGAGAAAGCGGAGCCAGGAGCCATGTGACATGTGAACCGGACCTGGACCTTGGTCTGTCCTTTTTTTCCTGCAACAGTCAGTAACAATGATGTTAGAGAGGGCCTGCAACTGAACCATTTGCATCATCATCATCCACTCATACAGGGAATAGGATATATAATATATAGAAGTGATATATAGAAGTGTACGCGTATTTATTAGTAGGTGATGGTTTCGGATATTTTGTATGTTCAACCCTTACCTGGGGATGATTGGGCCCTCTGACTCATATTTTTCGTTCGTGGGTTGAAAACACCAACCAGTTGATGTTCCGATCTAGTCTTCCGACCTCACAAGTGTCAATTTCTGAAGAGATGACTTGGACAGACGTTGCACGGAGATGACCCCACACTTACGGAGACAAGCTTAACAAGAACGCACCCACTTTCGCGCCAGTTCTGCTGCTCCAAAGTTCCCACCAAACGCGGAACGGTGTGCGATGGGAGATCCAAGCACACGTGGTGTGTAGTGCGTGGCGCGCTTTCGCAGCGCACATTTCTTCCTACGCATCGGGTAGGTGCGGGGGATGGGCGTCAAAACTGAGCGTGCTGACATCGTTTCATGCAGCTGGACCTGTGAATCAAGACTGAAATAGGCACAGCCTAGGCGGATCGGAGTTTCTGAGAGAGTTCGGGTCCCACTGCATATTTGCAGATCGCAGCTGAGCCTTCCTTGGGCTGCTAGTGATGGGTATCAGTTCCATCGGTGATTCCAGTGCAGACGTGCAGATATTTCCCAGCTTCTCGGTTTTCACATGTATGCGATATGTAGCACTGTCACTCCCACTTTCTAGCACTAGCTGAAACTGATGAAAATTGATTTTGGCGGCTTTGATGTCAGTGATGCAGCAATATTTTGAGTAGGTGAGGCAAGACAAGGCTTGTTAGGGTCTTGTCAGGATACGGGGCGTGATTTTGCAAGAGCCAATGGAGAAACCGCGAGAGCTAGTTTGGAAGACCATTCTCCTGTTACGTTTTTAATGCCAAGACCATCAGCAATAGAGGTTATACATGCCAAGCACCAGGTTCTCTATTTACGAAACAAGGTGCTTGATGTATATGTTGCATTCGACCGCCACTGCTGCGTTTGTTTTCAAGCAGAAGATGCTTCAGCAAGGATCGTCCACAAAGCTCAAGGTGAGGTGAGGTTGTTTGTCGATGGATTTCTGAAGTTGAAGGCAAATTGGGCCGAAGCGGGGCTGAAGCACATGCGATTCTACCATTCTTGTTGTTTGCCTTGTGAACTATAGTGGAGTGAAGTGAGATCTATCAAGGTGTTCATGGACGGAGCCACCCATCGTCAAAGAATGTGGGGGCCACCTGTTCTTTGAACGTCCACTCAGAGTATGCCTTCGGCCCAAGCTGCCGACCCTCCCCCTCTTCTAACGCACCGTTGCTGGATGGCTCGTGACACTCGTGGCGGCATCATTGAGAATTGGAAGACGTGGCCGACGTGGCCGACGTGTATCCAGTCATGAAGGTTCCCCAAATCGGTTATAGCTCCAGATGGGGTGAAACGTGGTGAAACCTTGCTTCTTTGGAATTGGTCCTCAGGTTCGGCCTTTGGTGAAGCTAAACACTCCGTGGGACTAGAATGTACGCTTTTTGGTTGCCGCCGATACATGCCTATACTCTTTGGGTAAGTCTTTGGTAACCACATGTAACCACCCTAAAGATCCCTAAAGTGAGAAGCATGCCAGTCTAACACAGTGCTTGGGCAATCACAGCCATTTGCTCGGCATTGCATTGCAGGACCGCAATGCATGCTTTTTGTTTGTGTTCTTTCAGTTTAAGAAGATGTGACAGAATACCGACAATACCGTTTAAGTTTTTGAATTATTGCATCATCGACCTCTTACCAAATTCATGGGGAGGAATTGTTAGGTGATACAGTAGGTGTGGTTTTATTTGTTTGCTTCTCGACGATGCTGCTTCTTTGGGTCATCCCCGCCTGCCAAGCAGGCGAAGGTGCCACCACTGGCGAACGAACCCACTCATGATGACTGCAATGGCCATACACGTCCACGCACTAGATGGCGTATCAAAGGCCGCGCTAGAGACATGATGTACTGGCTCCAAATCGACCAAGGGTTTGCTGATGTTTGGCTGTTTTGATCAGCCGTTTGCTGCAATGCTTCTTGTTTTGAGCTGCACAGCAGAATGGTTGGTGCTGGGGAAGCCAAAAAGAAAGACCTGCGAAGCACGGACATGCCGACCTGAAGTGGTCATGTCAGCCGAGTAAGTGAATCGGGATGACCTGAAGTGGTCGTGAGGACGTGAGCTGAGCCGTTGGGAAAACATTATCGAAGTGGAGCTACGGAACCAACAGTAGTATAGTTTGGGATTGTCCCATGACCTGCAACAGTCAAAAAAAACAGTTAACTATATATTAGAGAAAGGCCGCCAAGGCCTGCAACCTAACCCTCACCATCCACTGTTGCTGGTACTAGGAGAAACCCAAAAGTATAAGTACCTAGTGCTTCCTGTCGGCGTGCCCTGTCTGGAGACCTGTTTACGTCGTCGTGTGGAGATATCCAGCCAGGACCCCTAGCCCGGAAGCAGCTGGTATAGTCCTGACCCCATGCCAGCTTCGCGCAGGTGAAATCTCCTTTCACCCCTCATGCACCGGTTGAGGTAGACCCGAGTGGTTTGGTGTTGGCACCGTGGTTTGACTGAGTATGAATGGGTGTGGGTCGCTCAAAACCTCACCGTTACCGAAGGTTGATATCCCTTTTCGATAGATTTGTTCAATCTTCAGGGGTCAACCAGGGTGGACCAGGGTCTTGACCCACACCCATGTTTGAGGTGTTAAGACCCCAAATCATTCGCAATCTGGGAGCCATCATGCAGCATGTTTGGATGATTTTGATCACACCTTGCCGTTGTCATCGCACCGGTGGCGTTCTTCAATGTTCGTTTGAATTGGGCCTGGCGGAGCCCGAGGCGACGTAGAATCCAAGATTGGTAAGAAGCCTGGTGAAGTAGTCGGTGGTTTCAAGCATTTTCCTCTACAACCCCGTGGTTTTCGGATCCCATGATGATTTGCAGGGAGTATCAGATGAACAACAATGGTATCATGGTATCATTCATGTTTATTGGGGGATGGCCGGCCTGGTCATGGAGATGTCCAGAGACTGCGCTGGGTATTTGTTGCGGGTGCCACCCTGTCAGGATTGCTAGAATTTACAAGACTATGATATACACTTGGTCTCAAATCATTTTGGTGAAAAAGCTGTTCAAATCGTTTTACTATACTGTAAATGTACAATGCTTTCCATGGTTTTACTCTTTGGTTCGGACATGTTGCTTCAAGTGGGAGAACCTCTAGCGGATGAACCACTAGCTGCAGAATTTCGCGAAGTGAGGTGACCCACCGGACGCGGGGGTTCTCCTTGCTACTGAGACCATTTGGAGTCGGCCAACATCAGTAACAGCTTGCACGGTGAGTAGCACCGTGCTTTTTGCTGGCTTAACTCAAGAACCCATTACACCGAGGGCCCTAAAAGGTTCTAAACCCAGGTGGTGCGTACTTACATCTATGTTCAGCTGCTGGTGATGGCTGGGTTTAGGTCATTGCTTTCCGCCGTCCAACGAAACCCCCTTCTCTTCTGCACCAGCCCCCTGAAGCTGGAAAACAGGAGAAGAGTCTACTCTCGTACCACGGGACCACGGGCCCACGGGCCCACGGGACCCCGGGACCGACGGGACCGTGGACGGGCCCATCCACGGGACCGCAACGGGACCACGGGACCGCGACGGGACCACGGGCCCACGGGCCCACCGGCCCACGGAACCGACGGGACCACAGGTTGAGGTTGTTGTTGTTGTTGTTGTTGTTTGTTGTTTGTTGTTTGTTGTTTGTTGTTTGTTGTTGTTGTTTGTTGTTGTTGTTGTTGTTTGTTGTTTGTTGTTTGTTGTTGTTGTTTGTTGTTTGTTGTTGTTGTTTGTTGTTTGTTGTTAGTTGTTAGTTGTTAGTTGGTTGTTAGTTGTTCGTTGGTGGTTGGTGTCGTTGTTGCTATTTGTTGTTGATATTTGTTGTTGCTGCTGCTGGCGGTGTCCTCCTCCTCTCTTCTTCTTCTTCTTCTTCTTCTTCTTCTTTTTGTTGGTTGTTGTTCTGGTTGCTGGTTGTTGGTTGTTGTTCTGGTTGCTGGTTGTTGGTTGGGGAAAGACTGGGGTGACCTTGAGGTACCTCCTAAGACTTCCTCCATGGGTTGCTCTCCGTTTTTTCGTTTCGTTGTCTTCTCCTTTGCGTTGAACTTCCTTCATGTTAATATTATGTGTTCTTTTTGTTTTTCTTCTTCTTCTTCTTCTTCTGCTTGCCATGTCGCGCATCTGCTGGCAGCGCAACACCTCGGCCGCACGGAAAGTCTACTCGGAACTCGGAGCACTGTTTCTACATGCCACGGAGCCTAGGTATGGAACCTTGTGTACACACCTTTTTGTTCCCAGGGGCCTTCGAATTTCTTCTAGCACTACAACCGCCATGTCTTCCATGCGCTTGCAGTGTCTCATCTAGCTGTGCTTTTTTGCGCGGACCACGTCACGTCATCTCAGCAGTCCTTGAAGCCTAAACTTTCAGCCCGACTTGTCGTACTCTCTTTCGCACTCTGAGACTTGTCGCCCTGAATCTGCGGAGTAGCATCAACCTTCTCGTCATCAGCCTGGTCCTTGACGGAAGAAGCACCCTTGCGCTTGATGCCACGGCCTGCCTTGGCAGTAATTTTCTGGATCACCGCTTCGTATGGCACGGAGCACAATCTCATCAGCCGGTTGTGGTATTCCACGACAGCTGCCCGATTGTCACTCGCAGGCAAGTTCAAAACCAGACGGGGTTGGTTCTTTTTTTCTAGGCACGTTGCTCCATCATCGAAGGTGCCAATGCGCTCCTGCTCCAACCCGCGTCGCATAACTTCCACCCAATGAGCCAGCCTCAGGCTGCAGCGAGAGTACTTCACTTGGCCATCTTTCTTCTCCTTCAGACTGATGGAGTCGCTCACTCGCTGACCATAGATAGTTGTTTCGCCACGGAGCAGTGTTTTTTGCATAATCACCTGAGGCAAGCTTCTGAAAGGGATGGGTTTCAAATCAAAACATCAACAATCCTCATTTCTAGAAAACAACAACCCTCTTGCATATTGATCAGCATTTTTATGTCTGCCTTCTTCTCCGTTTAGTTTCACAGCTGTATGCTTAGTCAACAGTGTATATAGAACGACAATCGGTCCGATTTACAGCCCGAGCACACGATCTGGATGCAACACTGGTCCCAAAGCAGGATCCTGCACGCTAGTGCCGTCGGGCCCATACCCCACTGTCATGGGCAACACTTCGCGGTCGTTCGCGGTCAGAGGCTTCACAGCCGGGCATGCACCTTTGTCTGGACTCTGAGGAGCCCCGGCTTCTTCTTCCACAACACCAGCCTGCGTTGGCTCGAAGATGGGCACTTGGGATGGGATAGGCGCAGCTTGACACGCAGCTAGCAAACGCTGCTCGCGAGTCAAAGCCGCAGCAGCAGGACCAACATCAGGCCTCTCAGTCTGGCTGCTCATGGGAATCTTGCTTTTCCATAAGTTCACGATGCCGTGCGATAATTGCACCTGATCGAAAGCTCTGAGAATGTGCCGCTCCTCCACCTTCAGGTCCCCTGTTGCAGGCACAGCCTCAATCGCCAGCTCAAAGATCAAATTGCAGCAAGCCAGAACAGCAATGTGCCAAGGGGCTGTGCCTAAACGCCCAGCCGACTCTTCTGCCGTCCTGTGGACAGCGGATTGGACATTGTATGTGGCCTCGAAAGCCACAAACAATGCCCTGGCAGCTGGCGACAGTTCTATCACCCTGTGCCGTTGCTCAAAGTAGGCCAGCACGCGCGAGGTCATCGATGGCACGTCTTCCTCCAATGCCAGCGGAACGTTGCGATTCGGGAACCGCAGCTCTGGACGGCGCCACGTGTGCCCTGCATCCCGTACCACCCTGAAACGTAAACGGGATTCCACGCCGTCTGCGAGAGTCACAATGTAGCCATGCGGAGAAGGCAAAAAAACATCAGAGCCACCCTCATCTTCTTCACCTGTCGCCTGCTCGTATGTTTGCCGAGCATACTCTTCTTGCATGGCTTCGCCAGGTAGCCCCAAAGGGACCAACATGTTTTCTAATAGAGGCGCCCAGATCCACTGTTGAAATCCTTCAGGGAGATCAAGACCTGGAGGAAGTGGACTGTGAGGCTCCACTGGCTTGCCGGTGATCAGCAAAAAGCGTTCAGCGCAAGCCACATGATGGCTTCCTGCATTGCCGTTGATGACGTCAAAGAACGCAGATGGATGCGCGTTCCCCACACCAGCCAGATTCACGATGGGCCCAGAGTCTTCAAAACTCTGAACTGACTTGAACTGGACAGCGCATCGGCCTGTCTGCAAAACTCTGTTGAGCTCCGAAGCCGCATCAAAGGTAGTGTCGCATCCTGCCCCGTCCGATGATGGCAAGGTATCTGTGAATACTTATTTATCGTTCTAATCGATCTCTGACCCAAGAAACTGAATTCAACTGCAGAACCATCTCCATGGGATGTTGATGAACTAGAAAAGTTTCAACTGAAGACTGACATTGAGAAGCCGCTAGCAAAGAGAAATATGTTCTGCGTGGCCAGAAACGTGAATAATTTCATGCGCATTTAAAGCTCTCATGGCATGTGACACAACAGCACCATCTCCTTTGCCACCTGCCGTCAAACCAAGGTAGCGCAGAAACTTGTAACTCTCGTCTAAGTTGAGCAAGGTGCTATAGTGATTTCGACCAGCAAAATGTCCACTGGAGCACTGCTGCCAATCTGCACCACAGCGCTCCCACAAAGCAGCTTCCGTGAAGCTTGTCAGGGTGCAGCTCTTGAGTTTCAACTTGCCTGGCTCCACTCCGGTATTGGCTTCCAACGCTCTCTTGCGACAACTCTGCTGGACAATGTCCGAGATCTTCTGGATCAGGCTTGAGACTTGAGACTTTCTGGTCTGGACCATATTGATGTTCAAACAAATGGCTGAGAGAGGGCACACAGATCCTGGCCAAATTGACACGCTTGCACCGTTAGTTGCTGCCAGCAACCCAACTTGGAGCGCAAGACCAACAGGACCTGGGTGGTGAGCGGCGCGCGCCGCTAAGCGACGCACAATGCTCGCTCCTTTCGGGCCATAGATGCTTTCCACTTCAAAGTGCTTGTCCACATATTCATGCGACGCTACCAGGTTGGCAATGTGCGCACTGGGCGCTGACTCCCGGCTCATGCTTCATCTATTTAACTTCTGCTTGGGCCACGCAAAACACCTACAAAAAGGAAACTTGCGCACTGATGGTGAATAGAACACACATGCGTCGTTCTTCAACACTGCTCCATGCCCTTCCATGTTTCACGCTACGCAAACAATGATTGGAGAAACGAATTGATCGCTGAAAGCTCTTGCTGTTGTTTTCACAGAAAATAACTAGGCCCTCGGCTATGCGATGCGCAGCCGCGCAGAGAACTAGCCGCTAGCCTGGCAACCAGACGCCGAATCGATAGCTGCTTTCAAAAGACACAAGAACCTAGTGACCACTGAGAGACCACCCACACGGGCTCACAGGCTTGAAAACAAGAGCCATTCGATTTAGACATACGCAATTCAAAGTCACCCCAGCACTGTCACAGTCTGCCCGTACTCGCGCCTCTGCTCCAATCTTACCTGCAAGACCTGTCCAAGACAATGCAAGGTGTCAGTTTGTCTGGCCGTGAGCCCGACTTGGATATTCCCAATCAAGGCCTTCACACGCATGTACACTGCAAGGGCCACATGACGCTGAAGTTTCATATTGCCCCCCTGCTGCAAAGACAAACTAATTCCTGAGCATGCCCTGGCATTCCAGAGCACTTTTTCCACGAGCTCCGGTCAGCAAGTTGCGTGAGTCCATCACTTCTTGCAGAAAAAAGCGCCGGCACGGTGCCGTCATCTGACGGTACACGAATTTGTGCCTCCCGATCAAAGAGTTCACTTGCTCACAAGCACTGGTGTTCGTATTGGCGCACACTTCTGGAAACAAATCTGGGTGGCAATGGTTTTTGCACCAGCTGTCCGTGTGGCCACGCAAATGGAAGCGGTCTAAAGCCCAACACATCTGCGCAAGTTCTCGCGTCAATGGAGAGTGCGCACGATGTTTCAATGCAAAGCGCAAAAGGTGGCAGCTGTCGTCGTGCACCACGCACTTCAAAGCGTCACCCAAACGGCTCCTAGGCCAAGACAAACACCGTCTTCAAGAGACGTTGCAATCATCATCATCATCATCACCATCATCATCATCATCATCATCATCATCATCATCATCATCATCATCATCATCATCATCATCATCATCATGGGCAGGGACGTGGTGGACCCGCACGCACCCTCAGGGCTACCACCCCCTGCAGGACACGAGGACCACACACGCAACCCCGCCCAAACCTCACCTCATCATCATCGCTGGGGACGTGGTGGACCCGCACGCACCCTCAGGGCTACCACCCCCTGCAGGACGTGGGGACCACACACGCAACCCCCGCCAAACCTCACCTCATCATCATCGCTGGGGACGTGGTGGACCCGCACGCACCCTCAGGGCTACCACCCCCTGCAGGACGTGGGGACCACACACGCAAACCCCAGCCAAACCTCACCTCCATCAACACCACGTCATCACCATCATGCACTAACATTGGTTACAAACAATGCATGCGGAAGAGTTGCCTGCTCGCACTCTAGCCTCATTGTATTTAGACGGGAAAAACTGCTGCATTACTTCTTTTGCCAAGCTTCTTCAAAGATGCAACGAAGAAGTAACGAAGAGTCACTGTCTCCGTGCCAATGAATGGAAAAACGTGCAACACATAGCCGCTGCTCAAGCAAGCGACGAGCACTCCTCCCAACCGCCCCTGCCGGACCAACCTCTTGTATAGGAGGCTGCCAGACGACTCTTTGCCAGTTCGACAAGTCATGCCTTCAAACGTGCTTGCAGGCGTTTTCATGTTGACATACCCAGTGGACTCTTGCTGTTGCCAATACTCCCATAACTGCCGTTCACTGGCTTGGCTTGCCGGAACCCAACGTCCAGTAACGCTTGAGGCCGTCTGAGTGAGAACACTATCGATGGGTTTGAGTAACACATCGTAGGGATGTGCAGACGCTTCTTTCATCAAAACCCGGGGGCGCCTGTGAGCAACTACTGCCTCTTCATCCAAAGGCGCCTCCAATGCATCACTCCGGTCATGGTCAGCACATCTACGTTTGCGATACAAAGGCCTCTTGCTGCATGGACAAGCAGTGTACAAGCCCAGCTCAGCACTATGGACCATTTCTGCGCAAGGCCTTCCGCAAGATCTGCCATTCAGCTTGAAGTTACCGTCCATGATAACGGTCGATACATCCAAATGTCGGCCCGCAGCGCCCTGCAAACGACGATCAAACATAAAGGAGTCATACCATGTCGCCGACGACAAAGTCGTGGCAAAGGGCGCCAGCAGATTGACAAGCGCAACAGGAGTCTCGCTGTCATGCTCCCGGAATTGCATCATCCGAACAACCTGGAAGTCCGCGTCGAGCAACAATGCGTAAAAATCAATCAAGACAGAAGCCCACTCAACAGATACAAAGGTCATGGTCGTCATGGACATGTGTTCCAAAACAGAACCCAAAAATAATCGGAAATAGAAGGGGAGCCGGCTATTCTTATTCTGGGCCTCCGGAAGTTGGAACACAGCAACGCAGCCAAGCAGCAAAGCGCCAGTAGCACCAAACACGGAACAACTTGGTACGGGCTGTCGGGGGTGGTAAGCTTTCAAGGCCACGGGCCCTGGCATCAGCTGCGTGCACACTTGCTTCGCCCGACCAAGATACATACTGGAACCTCAGGCTGTGTAATTCCAACTCCGGCAGGAACTAGAGAGCATTATGGGACCACTAGATCGAGATCCCCAATGAAAAAAGTAGAGCTGGCTGCCGGGGACATCAATGCAATAAAACGACTAAGCCCGCAGCCACGCTGCACTAGTCTTCTCGAAAACTGGCGCAACCAGCTTGTCGACACACCCCATGATGCTGACAGGAAAAAAAACTGCATGTTGGTATTTGCCGGCCAACAGAACCTGTGCACACCATTTGTGTCTGACACGTAGTTGTGCCACACCAGCTTTCTAAACTGTGTGCACACCTTCTTGCTGCACCGCTGGCTTCTGTGCTCCATGGGTTCCCACCCATGAGGGAATAAGACTGCAGCACGAACCGAACGGTGAACAGTCATAGCCCCGCCGCACGACGGGCAACCATCTGGAAACTGCACACCACCTTCCATGCCAACGAAAAAAAGTTCGCCTTTGATACTGTACTTCGTTTTACAAGCGAAAACGCTGCTCCCTCTCTGTGCTTTCCCAGCCAGCTCTGCTCTTAATTCAAATGCTCCTGTATGGCTCTTGAATCTTGAACATCCATGCTGGCTCGAGAAGACGTGCAACGAGCTTGTTCACAAGCCACGTTAAACACTGACATCGAACTAAATGTAACCCATCCGACAAGGCAACACAGAGTCCGTATATTTCGATCTAGCTTCTCCTTCGACCCATGTGACTTCTGCCCTCAACTCTTCCCTGCTTCCGACAATGCTCCCCGCCTCGGCGACGCTTCGCCGCAAAGAAGTTGGAGCAGCCGGGACCGCGGGACCGCGACACGGGACCACGGGACCACGGGACGGGACAGGACCGGACGGGACCACGGGCCCAACGGGCCCACGGGACCGGTACACTAGGGGACCTTGCTCGAAAACAGACAGAGCCACGACCGTGTGCTTCGGCCGCGGTGGTGAATGAGAATGATATCAACTGATTTGAAATCCACAGTATGAGGAGGGGCTAAAAGGCGAAACGACCAAACAACATGACTTATGGAACCATCATGAACGGCTCCAAAGCATAGAACCATCCCAACCATGAACAACTTCCATTGAGCATCCGGTTGGAAGACGGCACACCGTGGGGCACAGAGCTTAGATACCTGCAAATAGGAGATGTTTAAAACGGGAAGAATGGTGCGTCAGACGCCTGCATCAGCAGTTCTATGTCGGGATGCCGGTTCCGAACGGAGGAAGTCGGCCCAGAAGATCCACTGGATGGGAATAAAAGCAATTCCTTTGGAACTGCTGGTGTAGTATCTTTAGTCACTTTAGTCTCCTTGTTCCATGTGGGGCAAACTTCTGCAAGAGGTTTCTTACCTTCCGGCCTCCAAGCACCAGAAGGTCAGGTGTAAACAGGTTGCACAAATGAGAATCATTGGCATTTAGCATGTGGAAGGATATGGGATGATGTGCCACGGTTGTTCCACGTTTGGAAATGACACTGGTCGCCGAACAGCTCTTGCCCACTCCAGCGACGGGAGCGACGTTGACGGAGCGGCTGCCATCGTCTTCGTCGCCGAAGGCAAAAAGGCGCGACCCGCGTTGCACAAGACCCTGAGCCACCAAACCCTCCAACACTTTCAGTTCTCCAGGTCAACTAGTGGTTCCTTACTAGTCGTAGCCCGGGATGCACTGGGGTCGAAAAAAGGTTTCTTGACTGGATTTGCCTCCCATTTGGCCGGTGGTGATGGATGTGATGGCATTATAGCTTTGCCCTCACCGTTTCTTTGAAGTAAGGCCTGCTTTTCATCTCATTGTGCTGACTATCAAGAACCACCAGCAGCTGAAACCAGGCTTTTGGATCACCTTGTTTCTCCGTCGTGTTGACATGTGTTGACTACGAACCAACTCTTTTTTTTGGTTTCCGTCTCCCCTATCCCCATTGTGTTCAATAACGCAGGCTGCCCATGACTGCCCCAAAATCCAGCCTACCAGGACCTTCAACTTTGTGAGATCCCAGGATGAGGTCAGAGGTCACTTGAAAGTTCGCCCTTGGATTGGACTCAGCAACATGGAAGTGGAACGAAGAACCATCCTCCGCTCGAAAAAAGAAGAGTGGTCACCACTTCCAGGTCCACGAGCACACCATGGCACGCCATATTCGTGGATGACTGGTGGATGATATTTCTGCCACTGTTGTCCCCTTGGGGGTCCTGAGAGCTTAACAAAAATAGTTCACGATATGTCTGCCATAATACATGTACTCGAAAGTACCCTAGAAAATGGGACATGACCCTACAAAAAAACAGGTGCTTGTACCCATTGTCCGAGGTACTTTGAGACTCCAGGTAGCCTGTTTCTGGTTGTCTTACTGTTGTTGGAAAGTATTGGCACCGCCCAGGCGAGAACGTACGGCAACTGCTGAGCCGTGCCCGGCAGCCGGGCTTGGCAGCTGCTTGGATGTGGTCATTGATGGAGGGGGTTGGGTGATGTTGATGTGGTTCGGTCAGTGATGAAGAGGATTTCCTGGTCCAGTGACTTGTATACTATATATATATATATAATATACTTATATAAATACTATAGTTAATTTATTGGTGTTGATCAACCGCTTTTGTTCCCCAAACGGTTTACTCTTGGGGTTCTCTCTTCGCAAACGCCATCAGTCTTTGGCAGTGCCTGAGCCCTGTGTGTTGTCCTGTTATCCTGCCGGGGTGCCGCGCGAAGCGATCTCCTCTTGTGCTTCCTGGTGTCCCTCTGCTGTCACTCGCGCCGCACTCGCGCCGCACTCGCGCCGCACTCGCGCCGCACTCGCGCCGTTGCGCTCACACCGCGCCAGACGGCGCCTGTGCCGGGTTCGTGGCCTGTCTTCACCTGGTCGACTGATCCGGGTGGGGTTTGGCTGTGGCTATATATTGAATGCAACTGTGGTGCAGCGGTGCAGCGTTTGATATCATCCTCGAGTTTTCCCCTACATTCATTGGAATTGAAGGAGTTGACGCAGAACATCCAGCTGAAACTGTTTGGGGCCTATATGCTGGTATTATTAGTATACTTAATAGTTACTTATTTGTTCACTATAAGGGATTTAGACATACAAAGCCAGGTGAACCATTCAACATTTAATGATCTCTTCATCATGGCCCCCGAAGGCTACAGGGACCACGCCCAGTACCACACCCACACCATACTCCCATGGACAGATTTCCGTTATGGATTTTGCCACTCAAGTTGGTTTGAGCTTCCTTGACCCTGACACTCCGTGTGCGACCCCGAAGTAAAGAAACACGGGCCCATGTAGGTCAGCATGCCGCATGCCTGTAACGATTTGTCACGCAGAGCATCATGAACTTGTTGTAGAACATGCCATACCCCCCCTCCATACAGTCCTGATCCCGACGCAGTTGAATACCCAAGACGCTTGGAACCAACTCGCCAGACTACTGTGAGCAGTCCCAAGCTGCTCTGAGAAAGGAAGAATCATCGATGTTGATACGATCCCAACAAGCGACCCAGCAACTCGTAATCCCATCAACTCGGGGGTCTAACAAAAAGACGATTGCAGCTTACACGACACAGCCGATACATGTTCGGTCCCAGCTTCATGCCGCTTCTCTTTGAACCTCCCTGGTGGCGCCCAACGGCCGCCCTCAACACCCGGCCACCGCGGTGGCCGGGTGAAGCGCAGTGGCGCCCCAGGTCCACACACAGCCCCCTGGAGCTCATCTGCTCCACTGTGCTGCAGCCTCTGCAGAGGCGGCGGAGTCCTCCGGGCGAGGCCACACCACCTCGAAGGTTGTGAAGCTCCCGCCCCCGGCGAGCCTTCACCGGGATTCGCCTGCCCAACCTTCCGCATTCCGCGGAGTGAGTGGTTTTTTGTTGGTCTAATCCAAGAGGTGGAGAGTTCGGGTGGAACACCGATTCCGTGGGGTCGCCGGTCCGTGAATCATCCGCACGTTCCGGCGGAGATTCGGTCCGGAAAGCGTCGAATCTTCGGAATGTAGACTAATAAACCGCAGATGAGGAGGATGTTCCAATTCAGGTGGTTTATTCATCAAGAGGAGGTCTTGGATGGTGGTCGGATGTTTTTGGAGGGAGGTTGGTTCAGTACAGCTTGACATTCTCACAACTATCAGCTCATTAGTCTCTTCCTCTCAACTCAGCTCCTGAAGACACAGCAGATACCCCATCTGAAATTCTTCATGTTAGTCCTTCAGCCAGCACACTAGCCACTAGCCATAGAATTTCAGCGGTCTTTGTTGGTTTCTATTTCCGGGACGTGTTGGCATATGTTTGTCCTTTCGGGAAGCATGCCTTGGGATGACTCGGCCTGCAACATAGCATAGCTAGAGGGGAGCCCTGCCCTACCTGCTGCGATTTAGATACCTACCTTTTTCTTCCATGATCAGCCGGTAGTCTCCGTTGATGGCAGTGGAGGACTTCTAGAAGTCCGGTTTTGATCCAGAGACCTACTTGTAGCATCTTGTAGCCAAGTCATCAGGGTCCCAGCCCTAAACAATCACAAAGCAGGGCAAAACTTGCACCAGACTGCACCAAGAGGTTGCTAACCTCACGTTAAGTTTCAGGTACATCCAATGTCCTTGCCCATCTGCAGGTTCAGCCCCAAGAGTTGGAATCCCAACCAAGGAACCACTTAGCATTGACTCCAGGACTGATTCCACCCGTAGTTATGGAATTACTTCATCCCAGCATATCCCAGCCTAAGTCTCAGCCTTATATGAAAACAATCACGCCACTCAAATGCCAGAAATCCTTCGTTAGCCCACCGGACCCAGAAGTTCTAGCAACCACGCCGGCGCGTGTCCACATGCTTTGTGGCACTTATTTCCAGGCCTTCGAGGACTTTTGGCAGCGCTGGCCGGTGAAGCCTGGGCAATTGTGAGTGGAAAAATGTCGCAGCTCATGCTTCGGAGGGGGCAGGCGTGAAGACAGGGCTATTTGGTATCCAAGGGGTACCCCATTCAAGGGGGAGACGTTTGCAGTTCGCAGATACGGAAAGTTCCCCAACCCCAAAGGCAGAATCGTCGGCAGTCAAGCTGCTTGGGAATCTCGATTCTCAGTGACGTCGAGCTGAATCGAGTCAAGTCAGACCACGTTTCGGCACCTGGTCGGGAAGTGTTTGCATCAGTATACAGGTACCACATCCCTAGACTTCCAACCACCATTAATTGAAGGGATTCATGGTCTTTGAGTCTTTACCGCTTTACCGAGCAACCATCGTGTTTGCTAAGGATTTCAGGCTAGAACACCAGGTCACACGTGATTTAAATGGTCGAACGGAGGTTTCGATCGGACTTTTCTTTGGCCCAGGGAACCTTGACATGAGATGGTCTCCACTCATCTCCACTCTTTGGGCGAGCTTTCACTTCTGCTTTCAAAGAACTTTGGTGCCTTCTTCTTGGAGAAACACACGGCAAAGGCTCAATTGTGTGACCTTCCTTTCATCGAGCTCACGCTTTGATCTCGATGTTCTTCGTTCCCCGCGCGCAGGTGCGGATCTCGCGGATGACCAAGGCTGCGTTTGGGAGCCGTGACGGACTTGGGCGAGAGCTATATTTTATCCTCCATATATGAAAAGAGGATGTCCAATTCAATCGCTGGGAATCGCTGGGAGATTATTAATCAAGCCCAAACACTCCATGGGACTGCCATATATGCCTACATTGACCCCCCTGGCACCACCCCAATGTAGGTAAATATGCCAGTCCCATGGAGTGTCTGGGAAGAGTCGATATGAGATATGAGTTGATCTGTCTACATTAGTAATGTTGCCCCCATTGTGCGGAGACGGACCCCTGTCGGAACGAAAGGGCCAACTGGAAGAACTGGAAGAACTGGGGGCAGGAAGAGGCGTGGGAGTGGGGAGTTTCCGCTTCAGTATAGAACCCATAATGAACATCCAACTCTTCGAATTCACTTGTGGGGGTTAAAATGGGGGAAACCTCTTATTTTCTAGGTTCTAGATCGCAGCTGTGATACTGTTGGCATTGTTTTGGTGGAAGATCCAAGGAGCAGGCATGCCAAAAATGTCGATATCTAAGAACACTGTTTTCATAGATATCAGAGTTGCTTTGCCTCACCCTGGTTCAAACACTGATTGGATTACAGGTCATCTCCCATCATCTCCCATGTGTGCAATGTCACCCTTCAGTAAGTATGCAAGTCAACTTGGCTGATCAACCCTTATCAAAGCCTATTTCCTCATTTTTCCTTCACATGAACCGGGGTTGAATAACCCAATAGCATAGCATACCTATAATTATATATGTATATATCTATCTATATATATTATATTATAGACTATTCCATAGGTATTCGGGTCACGTTCCACCTCTCTTGGCGCCAAACCCGCCTCGGCCAAACCAGGTGGCCATCGACCCGCACCCCGCATCCTGGTCGAGGCAAAGACGACTCGGCTGGGACCGACCATTCGGGCCTGGGAGGCGGCAAACAACGCCTTGAAGACGCTCCGTCGTGGGGCGGCCATGTTTGTCCGTTCGATGATGAAAGAACATGTATGGATGTGTCCGTTGTTCCATTGCTGTGGCTCATGGCATGGGCGTCATGAGATCCCCAACTATTTGTAACATTGTTTGTCTTGCACGTGGCCAATTGTGGCACTTGCTGTAGTAATTTAGGCATCGTGGCTTGTAGTTTGCATCGTTGTGGCTCATACGGCTTGTCATTGAAATAGCAGCGAAGTGTCACGACACCTTCTGGCTCCCTCGGCTGCAACACTGGTGTGGTGAGGTTGGAAGCCAAGGGCAGAGGTCCAGGTCCGATCTGAAGGACAACTTCGCTTACGTGAGAACATCCAGCCAACTTGAAGGGCAAACATGACATGTGTCTCGAATAATCTTGGAAAAGGTAACGACAACTTCACGAGGAAAGAGAGAGAGAGAGATGCTATCGGTCCTGATCTGACTCGTTCGCATACTCCTTCGCACCCCAAAAACCCATCCAAAACCCAATGATTCTTGATCAAACGGCCTTGTCCAAATTATCTATTGCAGTTTCTTGGGGTACCCAATCCTTTGTTTCACTTGGGGTTACTTGGCCGGTTTTGAAGGCAAAACAGAGGACCCTAAAAGCGATCCAGAGTTGTTCCGTAGACAGTATCCGATCGTGCCTGCATAGCAGGGGTCCGGACCCTCAAAACCCTATGTATTTGGGGGCCCTGATTCCTATAGGATTAGGGAAGTGATGATCGTAAGGCACATGGGACAGCGTGTGGAGAGTGTTGTTTTTTGTTGGAAGAGAGGGCTGCCTTCGTTCGTGGGACGAGATCGGGGGTGAACAGCTATCTTTCTGGCAGGGGAAGCTGCACGGCGCAGCTGCAGCTGCACTGCCCGCTGCCGCGCCCTTGCGTGCGAGCTGGCCGGTACTCTCCACCCAGCTTTTGAACTTTGAGCCACTTGGAAGAGGGTGGAAGAGGCGGGGATGCCCTTCGGAACAACGGAATGATAAGCCGCAAAAGCTGTTTCCCCAAACAGTTTACCTTTACTGTTGGGGTTCTATCGTAGAACAAAAAGAGGTGCACACTCACTGGCCGCGCCCCTCGGCTCTGTGGCTGGGCTCTGTGTCCGGGTCTTGTCCTCCTCTTGTTGTCCTCTTTGTCCGGGCTCTGTGTCCTCCTCTTGTCTTCTTGTCCTCCTCTTGTCCTTCTCGTGGCCGCGCCCATGAACTCTGTGTCCGCGCTCTGTGGTTTGTGGCCGGGCTCTGTGTCCGGCTCTATGCTGTTTGGGGTCTATGCTGGTATATTTTTCTCGGACAGGGAACAGGATACAATAAGAATCGATGCAGGCAAGTATGCAGGCATTAATCATCAGCACATTTGGACGGACCGGCATTGGATCCCGCCTTGGATCAAGTGTTGCATGATCGGCAAATCGGAATTAGACAGGGTGACACAAAGGTGTCCAACTGGAGCGTAATTTGTCTTTAAAAAACCTAAACAGCTTAGGCCGCGACTGGGGATTTTCCTTCCTCTCCAGGACGGACATTTCACAGAATACATGGCATTGATTCAGAAGCAATGCTTCCTTTTTGCCCGCTCCCTTCATCCAGCCGAGCGACCTCGCCGAACTCAGCGGCCGCAAATGAGGCCTGAGAAGGGGAAGACCAAGCAGACGGCGATTCGAGGCTCAGCGTTTGGGGGTTTGGAGTTAAAAGACTCATGTGAGGTCTCCAGTCTCAGTCCCAGACACTCCATGTATATGGTGTCGGCACATGCCGCCCCATTGACCCCGGGAACCACCCAATCGGCCTGATCGGTAGTCCTATGGCAGTCCATGGAGTGTCTGGGAGTGGTGGCATGAGGTGAAGACGAACAGCGGCTCATCAACGACAATGTTCAGCTCATTTTCCACTCTTCCGCCGCCGTTTTAATTTTTGGCGAGGGCGCCGTTGGTTGGAGCACAGGAAACCGGAGGTTGCTGGCGACTTTTGCTTTGGTCCATCATGAGCGGTTGCTGATGGTTGGTGACCCCAGGCTTGAGGACCAGCTAAAAACCTGGTACCTACTGCATTCGGACGGCGTTTCAAAGGGAGTACGTCCACCTAGGAGTAGTATACAAAAAGGGATCCCCATTTGGGAGTGTGTCGTTTTCTTTGGAGATTCGGCTGGATGACTCACCGAATGTCGACCTCAAACTCCACCCATGCCAACTAAAAAGAAACACAGAGGCCCCCTTGTGAACATCCTCCGTTCGAAAAGGGACGTGTCAGACCTAGGTCGCCTAGGGCGCTAGCAAGTAGGTGGATCACCAAAAGCAGTTAGTTGGGGGAATTCATTCCTCCACTAAATATGAGAAGAAATCAGGATAGTAGACATATGTAGACGTTTGCGCCTTTAAAGCATTCAGTGACCTCGGTCGTTGGGGGTGTCCCCCTTCGGTCGGCGGGGCGATCGCCCAGTTTCCGAACTGGCCACTGATGGGTCTGATGCCCCGAAAAAACAGTCTTCGAAACTTGAGCCAAGAATTCTGAGAGGGTTATCATTTCAGATAAAAATATATAGATAAAACATCTTGGGGATTTGTCCCACGTAATGAGTCCTTCATGGAAGGGTTTTTCATCACCATCCAAAGCCGTTTTCAGGAATCCATAAATCGGCTATTGTCTCCAACATCCGGGCCCGTGTCCAAAATGTCGTGGGAATGTGCGTTCGGTGAGCTGAGCTCGTGTGTCCTATCTATCCTGTTTGTCCTAGCTGTCCTGTTTACCTAATCTATCTAATCTGTGCAATCGATCCAGTATATCGCCTCTACCTGATCCATCTTTTCCTCATCTACTCGATCGAAACCATCTATATATCTACTCGAGCTACTCGATCGAATCCATCTATAAATCTGTTCCTATCTACCGATCCACGTATCTTGTCCTTCCGTATCTCATTTGACCTTTTCTAGTCTGTTCTCCTCTGATCTCTTCATGTGTCTACCCGATCAAATCCATCTCCCGATCGACCTCTCAACGTACCTTTCCGTATAACTTATCTTACCTCATCTCACCGTATCTTATCATACATGTTCTAATCGTGTCTTGTTTTATCTCGTCCTGGCTTGCTTTATCTTATAGATTTTCTATGATTTTCTTATCTTATCTAATCTACTTTGATCTTATCTCTTGTGTCTCTCCCTTTTCCTGTCGGAGCTCGTGCGCGACAACCCAGCGACAACCCGTGGGCCGTTGGGCCTGTGGGCCCGCTGTTGAGCGGACGCTTCTCTATATAATCATATATACATGAGCTTTCCAACTGACAAGTGTCCCTTTCCATTCACTGCTGATCATCCGCGTGGACATGGAACATGGATGATTGCCATGGGCCATAGTCCTCTACACTGCTAAACAAGACACCCTCGTAGCCTGCTCCCATTCCTCAGAGTTCGCCCAAAAATACCACGCTAGGGCTCCATTTGCCTTCGTTTCGAAGGTGCTTGGGGTGGGTGGCCAGATCATCTCCAGACATTGCTCCAAAAGCTTTCATCCCATCGGTCGGACGCTACGAGTTCCGGTACTTTCATCCCCCGTTGCTGCACCGACCCACCGACCACAGTCGCGGCCGACCGATGATGGGAGGCGCGCAGATGCAAAGCTCCTCCTCAGCGCCGTCGCTACGTACGGAAAGCTCACAGGCACCGTGAGTGGACTGAGGTGGACGTGGTGTGCTGAAGAGGAGCGCGTCAAGCTGCGAACTCTCCTCATGTTTGGTCCCCAAAGTTATATGAGGTGGTTTAGTGAGGTGGTTGTTCCGACGATTGCTTCTTCTACCAGATAGAGACGGTATAGGGACAAGGAGTTTTCGCATATTCGCGTCGAACCGTCCACCGACTATGATCACTTGTTAGCGGTTTCAAGTCCACAGCGACCAATGAGAGACGATCCGCAGACCGGGAGAATGTGGCAAGCTGCTGAAGCGCTGGCGACCCTATAGAGAGTTTCTACCTGACTGATGGGCTTTCTACTAAGCGTCTTTCTTTGAGAGGAGCCAACTTCCGAACTTGTTGGCTAAGGCATTGCCTGCCAAAGCGATCGCCTTAGCTTTAGGATTGTTCAAAGGTGGGGGATGCGTGCTGACACCACCACATGGGATGATCATGCAATTTTGATGGTGAGATATGTACGCAAAAACAGGTGAATGGCTCTATTTCATAAACACCCCCAGACAGGGGGGCCTGAACTCAGTCACGGAAGTACGTAGCCGTGGCACATCCACAGTCCATCCGTCCCCTCCATCAGGTCGACCGTTCCCATCTCGCCCGTCGAAGGGCAGGCAGGTCGTTGGGTCGTTCGGAGCTCTTCCCCAACAACGATCTGGGCGGGGTCACCCGACGAAGTTCTTGCGGAAGTGGCCCGACCGACCTCTCTACGCCAGGGCAGCTTGCACGCCCAGACCCACACGCACGGTCCAAGCTCCTCCAAGCGGGGGAGCGCGGCCGCGCGGGTCGTACGGCGGCCAAAGGAGAGGCGCTATGAGGCGGAGGTGGGCTTCGCTGGCGTATCGAACTGTGTGTTCCTTGAATCTCCAATGACCCTTTTAAATTTGCCTTTCCAAGAAAAAGAGGTTTTTGAAAGAAAGCACTCTTTTTTGCATATGTCATGAAATGTTCCTTTTTTGTTTGTGCCCTGGCAGATCCTCCTTAGACAGTGTCCTGAGACCTTTTTTCGGCGTCCAAAACGCGTCTTTTTGCGTCCAAAAGGCGTCTTTAAGCGTCCGTGCCGGACGCGTCCGGATGAAGATTCACTCTGCACGTTTTTTTGAGTCCTCATCTCTAAAAACGCGTTTTTCGAGCAAAAACGCAAAAATATTAGACCAAAAACAAAAACGCAGAAAAAAAGGTCTTTGGAGACTCAAGGTTCATGTCTCTTGGGCACTCTAACAGTTCCCACCAAAGAACCCAGGCACTCCATGTATGGTCTATATGTCTACATTGACCCCCAGTCAACCACACCTGGCCGTTTCTCGGCAGTCCGACATGGCAGTCCCATTAGTCCGGAAAGACGCATTTCATTCGATGAATTCCCCGCTTAGCGACACCTTGGGGGTGTCCACTCTGATCGGCGGTTCGCGGCTGTGCCGTCGGATCCATGTCCCCCAAACCTCGGTGTTTTAGGGTCTCGGTCGTGTTTGGATGGCCGGTGGTGTTTTCGTGGTGTGCTTGTTCTGTTCTTTGCTGCTTTGGTGGTGAGTCCCGGTTTCGGCTTTTTTCGCCTTTGCTTCACTGATAGCTGCGTAGCTTTGGGGGCGTGTCTCGCGGTCTGCCATCATGGTGTCGCGGTCTCAGTCTTCGTGCATATCCCAGACACTCCATGGGACTGCCATATATGCCGCCCCATTGACCCCCCTGGCACCACCCCAATGTAGGCATATATTCCATACATGGAGTGTTTGGGTATTGAACTTTAGTGCGCTGGCGTGTCCATACAAATGGTACACATTGCACGCTGGAGCTTTAGCTTCATGCCGCGCCTGGATGTGTGCAAACTATGCGTCGACATAAGACCATTGTTTCGCTTGCGGGGAGCATCCCTTGCAACAGTTTTGTCTAAAACTGTTGGCTGGCTACAGTATAAAACTGTGGGCGTGCTGCGCGAGAAGCAATGTTTCGGTATGTTTGAGTGGTATCTCGATGTATCTCGTTGTATCTCTCTATGGTGTCTCGTTCTCCGTCCTCGGAGCGACGACGACTTCCGGTGGTCGGGCCCGGGTGGGAACGCCGCAGCATCGCCCACGCCGGCCAGGCGTCTCCAGCATGGGGACTTTCTCTTTTTTGCTTGCTTGTTTGTCTCTCCAGGTGTCATCCTAGAAAAAAGACTTCTGATTCACCCAAGAAATGACCACAAGTGCATCAGAGCCACAGAGGAACAACGGAGTCTTCTCGCCACACCGTCGCTGCCACCGTGCCAGCTCTTTCACGTGGTGGCGCGGCCACTGATGGATTTGCAGCGGATGAAAGCCGTCGACCGTGAGCGGCGATCCGTGGTGAGGTGGGGTGCCTTGAGCTTGTGGGATCGGGTCGATTGTATTGGCCCTATGAATGAATCCTTCCGGGGAAGAGGAACTGCAAATCCGGTAGGGCAACAAGTGATGCCCCGAAAAAAGGGAGCCGCCGACTGGTCGAAGGCCTTCTCCCAACTCGGATCAACTAGTTTTTGTTTCAGACAAGTTGCTGACTGTGCATTGTCCCAGAATGCACAGTCGTTCTTGCTGCAGCACTACACCGAGTATGCAGCATTTGGATCGTGGGTTATACTGAACGAGACCAGAGACCTAGGGCGGACCCGGGCGGAACCCTGCCAGGTGCCAAGCCTAATCCAAGGGTGAAACATCATGGAGCTGAAGGCAAAGTTCATACTCAAGGGATCAGCCAAGACCAGCATTTGGAGCCTCGAACTGAAAGAGCATATCATTGGCCCAGTTTTCCAAGATGTTTCGCCCACCTTGGAGCCTCAATCCCTTCTCGAACGCTGGGTCATCCACAGTTGAATGTGCCGTAGACATCCGTATAACCCTGGCTACCCTCTAGAGCTCTTGCGCGTACGGTTTCGGAAGCTGGAGGCCAAGCACCATGGTTCAGACTCTCCAAGACTGGTGATCATGCTCTTGGACACGTATTGGATCTCCCCTTGGACCCCTTTGCTTCATGCAAAAGGTATTTACTACTGGATTTACTCTACTACCCCCCCAATAGCAGCTCAATCCAGAAGATCCAAGGCGTTCGGCGTTCGACCCTCGGTTCCCCCGAGGCCGTCGAGGTCGCCGCCACCCGTGTCCCGGCGGACCTCACAGGCCTCACAGGTCCGCTGGGGTCGGAAGCGAAGGAAAAGACGGAGGGCTTGATGGATGCTATGGATGGCCATGTACAGTTTACAAATGATTCGACCGGGTTTCTCAAGTCCAGTGTGTGGTTGTATGATGTTGTATGTTTTTAGTTGAGATTGTGTTGTTTTTTTCCCATGAGCTTCCACCAGTTCTTGCCATGTACACCTTTTTTTTCTGCAGCGCGACCCTTTCTGTTCTGCACCGAAACAGGCACCACGAGCAGAGGTGGCGCCCTTGTCTCGCAGCACGGACAAGCGGGTCACTGTGAACATTGGCCGGGAACCCAGCAAAGGTTTTGCCAGCCTTGAAGCCAAATTGAGTGTAATTTGGGGTCGGTCCTATTGCCTGTAACAGTCCGAACAACTGTCCGAACTTACCTGTAGAACTTACCTGTAGAGCCGTCAGGTTTCACAAGCAAATCACTACTTTGGACAAGGCCTGCAACTGAACCATCATCATCCACTGGGCCCAGGATAGATCGGATAGACCCAAGATATCTATGCCAAGAAACTAACGTGGACCCTGAGAATGGCACCCTCAAAGACTCGTTTCCTCCAAGAAAACAAATGTTTTCAGGGTCTATGTTAGCCTTCAGTGGGATAGATGCCCAAAAAACAAAGTCAGTGGATCACCAGCAAAAACCTCTTTCAGGGATTGGTTTCTGATTGGGTTTCTCCACGAATAAGGCACGAACAGGTGGACCGTTCGGTTCGTTGTCCATGGATCGAACCCGGCTCGGGGGCGTAGACCGCAGGTACTGGAACTCCTTGGTGTTGTTGTGTTGTGTCAGGAACTGGTATTTGGCACCCGAAATGATGGATTCATGGTGCTTTCAATTCTTTCCATTTGAGATGGTTCTGTTTTCATGGGTTTTCCACCTTGACTAGACTGAAAGAGCCTTTTAGGGAATGTTGTTTTCGTTGCTCCTTTGTTTTTCGTCTATCCACAGTTGTTAATCTGTAAGATTCTGCAAGGGTAAGGCATGCATTCGTTCTTCAATGACAGCCCCAATCGCAACTCGGTCCACACACCTATCAACTGATGATTGGTTGAGGGACCAGGTGCATGTACAGGCAGACCTGGTTCACTAGCCGCTCTCCACATGGATAAGTCAGTTGAGTGAGGGATTGCAACAAATGGCCCCTGAGAAGCCAAGATATTTCAGTCTAATAGGGATGGCCTCCAACCTAATAGCGATGGCCACTCCATGTATGGCATATTTACATACATTGACCCGTTTTTCAGCACCCCAACTGATCGGCATAGATTCCAGACATGGAGTATCTGGGCCTAATAGCGATGGCCTCCCGGCGGACCGGAACATTCAGACGGTCACAGCCAGCGCCGCAAGGTAGGCTCTCGCGTGTCCTGGCAAAGCAGTGGACTGAGGTCACCAGTCAGGAGAGGGGGCAGCAACTGGGAGAGCCAACCCCACAGTGGAAACCCGGCCTGGTTCGGGCATTCTTTTCCTTGGTTGGGTCTTTCTGGATGATGCCCTGACTAGAGCAAAATAGAAGCAGGATCATTTTCCAAACCAGCCATGCTGGCATGGGAGTATGCCTTTTGTAAGTGCAAACGTGGGCACCTTATCTCACGCGAGAACCTCGAGGCTGTCAGCTCCAGCTACGGAGACAGCAAGTTTACTGGATTCAGCTGCTGCTGCGTCGCATGGGCCAGCCAAGGCAAATCCTTCAACAATCACTTCAATGGCCTCGAGGCCGTCAGCTCCAGCTACTCGTCGACAAGATGTGCAGCACAGGCAGTGTTGCTTTCCCTTGTGGGCGAGGCTCGCTCAAGGCAACGAGGTCGGGTGCGGCGCATTCAACTCGGTGGCTCGACGACAGCACCGAGTTGGTCGGCGACTACATTGACGGACGACGGCTGCTACATTCTAGAGTGCCACGTCAATCCCAGGGGTTTGGGGTTGTCGGCCAAGGCAATCCTCCCATCCAAGGGCTTCACCGGCCAACTGCCAAAGAAGATCAAAGAAGGCATTCCGTGCAGCAGCATCGTCAAGGAAGACCCAGATTTGCGTAGCTTTGCCAATCGCACAACATTGCTCAACGTCTACCAGCACCGACCAGACGTAGAGGGTCTGCAGGGCGCTTCGGGCTCAAGTTCAGCCTTCGACGCCGGCAGCGGCGAATGCAGCCATCTCGACCACGCGGTTACCGGCGACTGGTTGTGGGCTCACGTCCTAGCTCCACGAACTGAAGCGACTCGAACAGACGCTCAGCGAAGTCAGTAGACAGGCATCCGTCTGCTACAGACCACTGAAACGAGAGACTCGTACTGAGGCGTGTTGAAGCACTTTGAAATCAGCTACTGTAGATTCTTTCATGCGGGCGTTTGTGCCTGCCTGCCTGGGCAGCTGATTGTGCAGCTTTTCGCGGAGTATAGCAGCCGCGTCGCTTGCGACCTCAGCCAGTGTGCCTTCATCGCGCTGGACGTCAGCGTCGACGTTTGGTGCATCACTGACGTAGACGAGAACGTCGCTAAGGTTTTGGAGACCTACCGTTGACCGCTGATTAAATAAAGGGAGCGGCAAATCTAAAAATTAAAACCCTAAATAAAGTCAGTCCCAGGTTCCAAGAAATAATTCCAATTGGAAGTGAGAGGATCCCTCACTAAAAAAATATTACAATGAAAGGGAAGACGAGAGAATTTAAATTAGAACTGACATGATCCCTTTTTAAAATGATTATTAACATAAAGGGAAATTTTCTATTCAAATTATAATTGAATTGAATTAGAATTAAAATAAAACCCAATTGAATTGGAATTGAAATTGAATTCGATTTTTAAATTTGGAATTGAATTGGAAACACAAATGCAATGATTTTTTTCAGTACACAAAGTTCTTTAGCTTATTTAGGGTACATGGTACACTCTATTTAGGGTTTGGTGGCTTTATTGGGAGAACCCTTTCCAGAATGGTTATCAATTTTCAATGGTTTTTAAATACGGGATTTATAAAGAATTGGTGTCAGAAGGTTTTGTGGTTTGATGATGAAGGGTTCAATTGAGAAGGAATCCAAAGAAGCAAGCTATTAACAAAGGAATTAATTGATAGAACCAATTAAACACAAACTCTTTTTTTCAGTAAATAGCTTTATTTGGGGTAAACTTTATTTAGGGTTTTGTGGCTTCATGAAAAATCAATTATATAGCCAGCTTTATTTAGGGTAAACTTTATTTAGGGTTTGGTGGCTTCTACAATAAACATTGAACAACAAAATAAATAGAATACACCAACATATTTTTTAAATACACGAATAACAATAAAACAAAGCACAAAAAAATATAACGAAACAAAAATAACCATTTTTGGAAAGGTGCTAACTCTATTTTGGCTCCCTTTATAAACAATCCGCAACTTGGCTAACTTTATATTTTGGATCCCTTGATTATTACTCAGAGGTCAACATTACGGGCTGAGGAAAGTCAGCTTCTCTGGACCAGACGAGCTTGTCTCGTCACAGGTCTTCGCATACAACGCTATCAGCCGCATCTATGGAGTCAACTGCACTAGCAAGGCCAGCAGCGGTAGTGTGTCCATAGCCGGTTTTGAGAGCGGCTTCAGCGTCAGCCACTGCGTAAGCAGCTGCATGGGCCGCCAGTGGCGGTTTCTGGCCTCGCGAATGTGCTGTGGCCTACATTGGTCCACGACTTGGGACCCGCCGATATCTGCGCAGACCTGCCAGCATACACTCGAGGATCTGCCTCCGGCACGACGATCGGCCCCAGGTTCTTCATTCAGCTGAGCACCGGCAAGGTCGGCTTTGCGACGTCCAATCACGTCACATGCGAGTGCCCAGTTTTCACCTGTCAAGGACACCGTACAGATCTGGACAACTTACAGGGGGAAAGCCCGCAGAGGCGACGCAGTCCTCTTCGGCACCGACGACGCCGCAGAACTTGACAGACGTCTTTTCTTCCGGCAAGGTCAGCGTCGGCGACAACGGACACACTTTGAGTGTCAATGCCGCTCCGAATGGCATACACTTGGATCACGCACAGGATAAGCACGCGGAACAGAAGCGGCGCCGTGATAAGAAGAACGCCGCTGTGAGCAGGAGCGCTCCTGACCGCGTCTTTCTTTCTTCCATTCTTCCCGTCTTTCTTTTGGGCATCCCTGGATGCAATATCCAGGCGGACGAGGGTGTTTGCACAAATGGCATCATCGGGCCACCGACTAACACTAATTACATCCAGCGGCGGGCCCCTTTCTTTCCATCGGCAGTGGAACCAATTTGACATGGTATTTCTTACCCTGTCCCTGCAAATTAAAAGCGACGGGTCCACAACCGAGCGGCGCTGGTCCAGACACTGCGTGCACGGGCGCAGGGCATCCAACTTGCTGGGTCTCATGTATGACTTTGTGCATAGCAGCGAATCGCACCTGGACATGCACGTTGACCCTGGCGGAGGCAAGACAACGTCCATTTGCCACGCCATGGACCAGGTCCTCAAGAGAGACTTCGGAGATCTTTGGAGGCTCCTGCTTATTGGCGTTGCCTTTTGCCCACATGGTGAGGATCTTATGTCGGAGGTTTCTTCAATGGGCCTGGCAAGCACGCCATATCGGCGGGCAAGGCCGTCGAATTGGCACTGGGCAGGTTCACCTTCATCTTCCACAATGTCCGCGTGATCGTCTTCGACGAGACCGCCTCAGTATACATTCAAGCCATGTGGCAGAGCCTCCAGGCTGCCTCGTGCACTCCTACAGGCTTGGCCCATCTGGTAGAGTTGTGGTCCTTTGTACTTCGTGTTCGGGATTTCGCAGCTTTAGCTCCATGGTGCCATGGGGGCCTCAGAAAGTTCGATTGCAAGGTTCTTCGGAGATTCTGCCCCTTTTGTGGGACACTCTTGTCGGACACTCTTCTGGGACACTCTTGTGAGACACTCTTGTGGTTCACTCTTACAGGACACTTTTGCCGCTCACCAGCGACAAGCCGCGTTTACGCCAGCATGTTTCGCGCTCCCCAGTGGCACGGCGCATCATAAAACACACTTTCCACCAAGGCCGCGCAAATCCGCATGGCACTGCGACATCACGAACGTACTTTCGCCACACGGTCTGCCCACACACTAGAACCAGTCACGAAGTTTACGAGACTTCCTCCAAAAGTCACGCTTTGAGGCTGCAAGACGAGCGTTTCGTACATGTCAAAGTCTGCAAAGCGATACAAAACGAGCGTTTCGTACAAGACTTCTCCTCCAAAAGTCAAGCGGAAGCACCCATCCGAGCACACCCATCACGCAGCCCTGCCAAGCAGTTTCGCGATTCCATTAACAACACCCGCTCACACGCTCACACTCCAATCCCAATGTGACAACGACATTCACCTCTACCACAACTCACAACCTCACGATTCCCCGGCCTGCCACGAAACTTTCCGCGTCCACATGTTTAACGCGCACAAAGTACTGCGCCTGCCACGAAATGTCGCCTCCGTCATGCCTCGCAACTTCACGATTCCCTGCGCCTGCCACGAAAATTGTACTTCCACCCCTCAAAACCCGCGCAAAGTACTGCGCCTGCCACGAAAAGTGACAACATCAAATCATGTGAGCTTCAACAATATTTGCACCACACCACACGTTTGAGCACACTCCCATCCACCAAAATCACCATTTCAGCTGAGACATGTCACGAGAACAGAGCTTCCATGCGACATCCTGAAACGCAAATCCCAATGGCACGGCCACATCCAACACCCCAAAAACACCACTCTCCAAACGCTATAATCCAAATGGAACTGCGCAGAAAACTGCGGATCTCAAAAAACGCTGCTGTGCCTGCGCAGTGAAATCAACCTCCACACTTCAACATCTTACATTTCCACACGTTTCCACGCTACTTCACACGAATCTGACACGCCACGTTTCCATCCAAACCCCTCTCCAAAAGCTTCCCCCAATGGCGCACTCCCAAGCGCACACAGCAGCGGCGCCCTGCAGCGGCAAGGGCACACAGCAGCGGCACTCTGCAGCACCAGCACCCACGCTCGAAACTGCGCACATGCAGCTCTCCCTATATACTTGACGCAAGAACCCCACTAGCTCTCGCTATCTGGCGAACACTACTCCAGGAGTCACATGTCGGGGTGGTTTCTAGTCCCGTCCAGTGAGTGGACGTGACAGGGGCACCCCATCTTCCTTCAAGTTCAGCACCCCAACATGTGACTCCTTTCAGAAAGTGGAAGAAATGGGAGTTGATTTCTGTTGATGTGTGTTGTTTTTGCTTCATTCTTTGCAGCCAGCTTCACAACTTTTGGGGCAATGAGACCTATAGATACAGATTATCACCATGTTTGTTTCCTTCACCGTCCAGTCTTCTCCACCCGAAAACTGAAGGAGGTGGAAACGCGTCGTGCCAAGATGGAACGCTTGAGTCGGAGTCAGGCGCATCGCATCCGTGTCCGCGGGTCGGCGCGTTTGCGCGGTGCGAACGTGGAGCCTTCCGTAGGTAGACAGCACCATTTCATCAAAGTGAGTTGTCGAGTGAGAAGACGGACTGAGCACGATCGAAGACCCTGGCTTAGAAAACACACTGATTGTTGGTCGCAGGTGCATGGTAAAATGTGGGTTTCGTCATTTTATGCATTTTTATAGACGGCTTAATGTAGACAGACGGCTTATTACATGGATGCGAGGAAAAACACATACAGCTCAAAGGCCTCGCTTGGTGGAGTTTCACGTGGTGCGTGACATCCGCAGCCTTCGAATTCCTAGCACTTGGCCTTGGGTGCACGAAGACCTTTAAACAGTGTGTGTGTGTGTGTGAGGCCTAGAGGTGTAGCAACAGAAAGTCTAGAGATCTAGACGCATAGGGGTCCAGAGAGGTGATGGCGGTGATGAAGGTGGAGATCATGGCGATGATGGTGGTGAGTGAGTGAGTGAGTGAGTGAGTGAGTGAGTGAGTGAGTGAGTGAGTGAGTGAGTGAGTGAGTGAGTGAGTGAGGTGAGAGGTGAGAGGTGAGAGGTGAGAGGTGAGAGGTGAGAGGTGAGAGAGTTGAGAGGTGAGTGAGTTGAGAGGTGAGTGAGGTGAGAGGTGAGAGGTGAGAGGTGAGAGGTGAGAGGTGAGTGAGGTGAGAGGTGAGAGGTGAGAGGTGTGAGGTGAGAGGTGAGAGGTGAGAGGTGAGAGGTGAGGTGAGTGAGGGAGGGAGGGAGGGAGTGAGTCAGTCAGTGAGTCAGTGAGTGAGTGAGCGAGTGAGTGTGAGTGAGAGTGAGCGAGTGAGATGTCCAAAGTACTGCACCTGTCACGAAAAGTCGACTTTTGCAACACCAAAATATACGGGCTTTCCCTTGCGCCTGCCGCGCAAAAGTCACCATCATGTCCGAAAATGCGCGCAGCACCACAACGAGGTCGCAGTCGCGACAAGCACCTGCGCCAGCCCACCCGATTCTGCAAGCCTGCGCAGTCGAGATGCACTTCGAGGATTTCGAGAGGCATGAATGTACTGTAAACAGCAACGATATAGCCGGGCCCGACTGCGCAACACCTCGATCTAACACCGGTGCTTAACCATCATACCGTCAGAACCCCTAGTTCTAGTGTGTCCATACTGCTTGAAGAAAAAATTTCCTTCGCGTTGGCAGATATGCAGAAAAAGGACCAACCAGAACAAGGAGAAATCAACAGAAAGGAAGAGACGGATACAGTACGGTTACGGCAAGTGGGAAGACCACGAAGTTTGAAACGGAGAGGGCAAGCTGAGACAATAGTTAAGGGCCGCACAGGAGAGCGGAAGAGACAAAAGGGGATGAAAAACATATGGGAACTGCCTCGTTTGTCTGAAGTATATATTGACTGAAATATCTTCTAGGTTGTGCTCCCCTTGAGCCCTCTTCTAGTTGAGCTGCTTGGGGGTGTTCAAACATGGGCACGCTTTCAAAAAGAAGATTCCGACGACGCATTTCTTCCATGATAGGCGTTGGCACTGTTGTTTACCAACTATATAACTATAGAGCCCATTGGATTTGTTCATGGGAAAAGGCAATTGTTTGGATCCTCCAAAGCAGGGACAAGGGTCAAGATAGGTCAAACATGTTCGAGGATGTTCTATAGGTATACTTTTGCTGTGTATACCAATTGAAGGATACCACATCCTGTTGAAGACGTGGTCCAAATCCGCCTGTAGATGCACCACGCGCTGCCAAAGAGTTGGCTTCTCAGGGTGCAGAGGAGGTGGCACTTGATAGTTTCTTCGAGTGGCACGGCGAGCAACCGGAGGAGACTGCAGCTGGGCGGGGCAAAACATGCCTTAGGGGTCGCCGGTCCTTGGAAGATGTTGCATTGTTTGCATGTGGTTTGGCATTGGGAACTGTTGGTTCTTCGAAATCGCCAGCTTTGCTGGGGACCGAGGAGGTTTAATGTTTTTACTCAAAAAACAATTCAAAAAACACATCTGGAAATGGGTTTCCCCCTGCGCAACTCAGCCTGTCACAGAAAATGCCACGGTGCTCGCACGGTCGCATCCCACGTGACTGGAAGACTTGCATAGAACCCGATGAACGTGACCCCAACCTTGAAAGCCAAACAACCGGAAATAAATGGATGTTTCCCCAACAACCACTTGGCGATGTTTTCAGGATTTGACTTGCCATTTGGGATCAGGTACTTGCGCCACCCAGAAAACTTCAGGCAGCCAAGCGTGGGGACCGCCACCCACGGTGCAGGACTCGGTGCAGCTCTCCTCCCAGGCGCCCGGCGGACGAAAGAGGTACGGACAGTAGACAGGGATACCCTGGGTCGTGAACAGCGAAGTCATATGTCAAGACACTCCCGAAAACTAACATGGACCCTGACAATGGGTTGTTTGGAAGATGGGTTTCCTCTACCAGCCAGTGGTTTTCAGGGGCCATGTTAGTCTTCCAGGGTGTATATGGTATCAAAACGACCCCTGCATTTTTGCTCCATAAGGACATCATTGGATTGAACCTCTCCACAGACCAGTAGCCCAGTCTACCCAGAAGAAGCGTGAGGCCAAGGGGCACCAAAGCGAGATACGGTTATACAATATTGAAAGGAAGTAACTAGATGTAACCAGATGCTTATCAGGAGCTTCCTGTTGTGACCGTTTCGGGGGTCAGATGACTTCGGCCTCTTGTGACACTTTGGGTGCTGGGTCTTTCCACCCCTGCGGAGAGCGACCCGCAGGGCCCCCAGGACCGGTCAGGACAATGAGTAGAAGTACCAGGGCAAATGAGTCGGTCCCCTTCTTAGGTGTTTGAGGTGAGTTAGGGTCAGTTAGGGTCCAGTCATACCTTCGTTTCGGTACGACTGGAGCCCTAGGGTCTACTGCAGGCGACAGGTCGCAGGCACGTGACGACTGGGGATGAGGTCGACCGTCTCTGGGACCCTGAGTTCACTGTTTAGCAGATGTCCTCTTGTTGGGGGTTTTCTCACCCTATGGCTAATATGGATCCTTATGGATCTGATGCCTTTGGGGGTAGACTATAGATTTTGGTTGAGAGGTGAAGGGATTCACGACAGTCGCCACTTTCAGTGGCGAGGTTGGTGGCTGCGCCAGCTTCGTGGCTGCGGCCGATGGAGACGAAGCTTCACACGATGTCGGCCTCGAATCTTGTCCGGGTCGATTCTCATCTCCGGCATCAATCCCAGACACTCCTACCAGCAGTCACAAAGGGGTGCTTAATGGAGGTTAGGGGTGCCCATTATCATTATCCACTCACTTGGGGACTAAACACCACACCTTTGTGACTCCTGGTGTATACTTTTATGTTGGGTATTGGGTTTGTTTTATTACCTGTTACAGTCAGTAAGCCATCCTATATATTCCATACAATGCAGTCTTTGAGGGAATCACAATGCCCAATGACCCTCGGCCGCTGACGTCTCCAGGCGTCAAAGACACTGGAATCGAGGATGGTGGCAGCTCGCGCGAGACCTCGCGCTGCCGGGTGGTCAGTGGTTCGTCCAGCTCTTGTTGCAGCTCCACCCAGCGGATTTCTGGGGGTTTCCATGTGTTTCTTCTGGCAGCGCAACAATCGACTAGAATATGTTGTATGCAGACTGAAGCAGCAGCTGGCGATGGCCACATGTGCTTGCGGGGCTTTCAACTGCACTCACCAGAAGGAGGCCTATAGGCATCACCACGACTTCCTTCTCATGTCAACACATCATGGCCATGGCAAAGCAAACGCTTCATTCAGCCCCACTCAAACCCGAGTTTTGAACCACGCCTCGCATATCCATGTTCAAAAAACACTCAAAACACACTGCCACGTACAGGCACCGAGTTTTCCTCTGGGCGTCATTGCAAGGGAACGCCTCAGAGATGGGCTGCAAGGTCTTGCTTTGATGCCATCAATTTCTATTTTGCAAACGGCTCCATTCTGGTCTTTGCGGAACTCGTCGTTTTTGAGCGGTGAGAGAACAAATAGCTCACGACTCACGAGCATGCAAAACATGGACCTGCAAGGCACCTGCCAGGCATTTGACCATGTTTTTTCTTGGCTCTCAGCAACTGTTACTGAACGTTGCTTCTGAGGCACGCCTTTGCCTAGAAAACTGCTTGCATTCATACAATTGAAGGACTAGCAATTTGGTTTATGCAAATGCACGAAATTCATTCTTTTGAGTTGCTTATATCATGAACCGGTTCGACCTCAAAAGCCCCAATCCACCCGTTTCCACATCTGATCACTCCAACATGGTGTTCCTGTTCCTGTCCCGCCGAAGAGCTCACTTGACGCCGTGTGACGCCGTCGCCCGCGGCCATCGCCATTTCAGGATGTTTTCCCGCGCCCAGAACCCCGCGCTGAACGCGTCGAAAGGCGACGTGTACGTCTACGTCGAACGACCGGTACTCGCAGGAATGAACGGCGCGCGGGAACTTCGAAACGCACAGGAATAGGTCTTGGGGACACAGGTAAGTGAAACGACCAATAATTACAGCAAAGGGTGCTCATTTGGGGGCACTGAGTGAGGTGACAGCTATCTTCTACATGGTCAGGGTGAAATGTGAGTTCATGACAGGTACTTTCAGTAATTATGTTTCAGCCACCAGGACCTTCCCGGTGACCTTTTTGGAGTCCCATCCAGAGACCTTTTACAAGCCTGTTCGTGACCTCAAACCAGGGGATCAAATGGTCACTGGGAAGATCCAGGATTAATATTCATTACTTAATTAGGATGTTGATAAAAGAGAACTGAAACTAGTAGGCTCTGTTGATTTGTTGTGAAGCTTCCAGAGGCGATCACGGACAAGTGTTCTTCAACCGTCGACCCCAAGTCGTGGCCGATCCTGCGATGAAAGGGCGGAAATAAGACCCAGACACTCCATGCATCACTCAGGAGTGTCACATGACACATCACTCGTGAACCAAAGGTGTTGATCTCACGACTTCACGCTGTGCGTGTTTTGCTAGCTGTTTTTGGGGGGTGAACGCCCAGACGCCAGACGTTCACCCGTCCCGAAAGAAACGTCCCTCAAAACTCACCGTTTCGAGACCCGAAACGTGTCGCGAAGTGTCGCGTGCTGCGGGGATCCGTTTGGATGTGCTCCAGCTTCTTGACCGAACTTTGGAGTACCATCCAGTGACCTATTACAGACCTGTTCCGAACCAACCAGGGGATCAAAAGGTAACTTAAAGGAACCAGGCTGATTTATGATTGGTTCATTTGTTTGGCTTGGGGCAGGGGTCCCCTCTTTCGTGCTGTAGTGATGAGTGGTCGTTAATCCTTCCCACGGTTTTCCTTGCATGCGCCCTTGACTTGCTCACCCAAATGGTCAATGAATGCTATAGGTGGGAGAATCAGCTAAATGAGAGGGCTGCATCATTTGACCACCCACGCACCTTGATGATAAGGTGGACGAATCACAGCCGCATGGGCGCCGATTCATGGGGAACACCGAACTGGCGGATGGAGTCATACACCCAAGTCATCGAAACGGCAGGTGCTACACCCGATTGGCAGGAGCTGCTTGCCGGGCTGTGGTGACTAGACATGACTAGCCTAGCCTAGTATCTCGGGGTACGTAACAACTTCTGGACCTCAAAAAGGAAGAACTCCTGCTTGGTCGGTTTGGACAACAGCTGCAGGTTTGCACCCCTTTAAGCAGGATTGGTTTCTCCGCTCACCAGGAACCGGTGGATTTTCCAGACGCACGGCTAGGGAGTCCGTATTGGCTCCAGTGTTCATTTTTGGGCCTCCAGTCCCTTCTGAGGGTCGGTGTTTGGCGTGGGTGCCAGGAGGCTCTAACTACCTTCTGAGGAGGTACTTGGAGGTGTAGGGCATTGCTCATGGGACTCATGGATGGATATAACAATCGCCTCCCCGGCGTATCCGACTTGTTTGGGACTGGCACAGAAAGTGCCGATCAGTTGGGGTAGTTGGAATATGTTGGAATTGGATCAACCTATAAAATATAAGCTGGTATTAAGCTGGTATTATATATAATATCATCATAGCATATGATAGAACCCCAAACAGCTTTTCCATGTCGGGGTTTCGGACCAGTCACCCAAGTCACGAGGACCTCACGAGGACTCCACGAGCGGACGAGATCAACGTCACGATGGTCGGTGTCTTCAGATGCTTTTTCTGGTCATTCTTCTCCAACATGCTCTCCCACCCTCCCTTTCATCCTCCTCCTCCGAACTCGGACCTGGGAGTTCCGATCCCTCGCCCCTCCGGAGAACGCCCATGCATGCTTTCGCAGAAGCGCGGCCCCGTGGTGTTCACCGTTGCAGGAGGCTCAGGCGGGTCTCGTGCAGAAACATCTCCAGCAGTACCGCCGCTGGCGCACCGAGGGACGCCCGCCCTCAGGGCGCCCCGTGCGCCAGCGGGATCGGATGCGGACGGGAGGGAGGGTGGGGGGGTCGATGTCAGAGCTCGTGAATGGTCCAGACATGTATACATATCGGGGCATCCTTACGAGGGCCTGCAACTTAACCATCATCATCCACTGTTACATCGAATATTTGGAATGTTGGCCAAATTTGACCTGCGTGCATTGACGCCTGAACCGGACCTTAAGGACTCACTTATAAGTCCATGTAAATCCGGACCCCAGGACCCTCCTGTCGGGGTGCCCTGTCTGGAAGCCTAGGCCGGTAGTGTGGGGAAGTCCAGCCAGGACACCCCGACAGGAGGGTCCTGGTATAGGCTTCTGTTTCTTTTGATTTGATGTTTGACTGCAACGGGACAATGCAATCAATCGACTTGATAGGGACTGTTGGGTCGCGCGGACCGGGATCTGAACGAACAACCCAACAACCCACAGCTGGTTTGCTTGAACAATATGTCCATGTTAGACCTGCATTGTATGGGTCCAAGCCTTTTGGCAGCGTTCTCTATATAAAGTCATGCCAGTGGTGAAACATGCTTTGCCAGGGGCACGTTGTTCATAATTCCTTGCAGAACCATAGAGTGCGCGCCATGGCCAGTGCTTCAAAAGGGTTATGTTGCAGGTGCATCGGCGCCAGATCTGTTGGAGCCTTCAATCGCACGCGATTGTCGACTAGTAAGGCGGGTACAACACTCCAAGGTGCAGAGGTTGAAAGGAGGAAGCAATGGCAAGTCAGCTCCCACGGACGAGTTTGCAACACAAGGGGGCGGATATTTTACGGACATCTACGGGGATCAGGCTACTACAAAGTCAACGTGCTGGGAAATGACTTCTTTGTCCATCGCTTGGTGGCTTTCGCTTTCCTGGGGCCTCCACCAGCAGACAACATGTGGCGAGTTCACCACCGGGATGGTAATCCATCCAACAATCAGGTCCAGAACCTGGAATACGTGACGCAAAGCCAGAATATGAAGAAATCCTTTGCAAAACAAAGAGGCACTGTGGGACCTTATTTGTCACTGCCTGTGAGATGGAGAGTTGTTGGGTCCCAAAGCTGGACCACTTCGTCATCCATGTCAGCTGCGGCTACACAGCTTGGCATGAACAGCGGCACAATTTCCAAGGCCTGTAGGCAGGGAACACCAGCGAAGGGATACGATTTTCAGATTGCTACACGTCGTGGTGAGGTTGCAGCACTCGAGGCGGAAGAGTGGCGACACATGCTCGACCCGATGTTTGGCGGTGAAGTGTGTGGAAGGATGGTGAGCTCATTGGGCAGGATACGGTCACAAAATGGGATTGTTTCAAGGGGGTCTCGTACCAAGCAAGGCTACCACGTGACGTCGCTTACACGGGAGCGACGTACTGAATATGTCCATCGATTGGTGGCTTTGGCCTTCTTAGGGCAGCCTGAGAACGTTAACAGGCATCAGGTGAACCATAAAGATTTGGACAAAGGTAACAATGCAGTGCAAAATCTGGAGCACGTCACGCCTGCTGAAAACATGGCCCACCGCTATGCGAGCAGCGACACACGCCCCAGGTCAGATGCCAAACCGGTAGAGAGCAGATGCTGTGGGAGGAGTGATGAGTGGAGATTGCATGTTTCTACCAAAAGTGCCGCAGATGCCCTCGGAGTGTCTCCTACCAATATCTACCATTGCTTGGCTCATCGTCGTAGGCACACTGGCGGGTTTGAGTTCAGACTGGCAAAAGCAGCTGAAATCAAACACCTGCCTGGGGAACAGTGGCGGAATATGGGTGCTGAACTGGTTGAAACCCTAAGAGCGAGCACTGAGACAAATATGGTGAGACGGAATCAGCGTGGCAGTACCTTCTTGGTCTCGGTAGGCCTTGTTTCAGGTGTCAGTGAACGCGTCAAGGTTGTGACCACTGTTTGGTCTTAAGAAATCATACAATGGCGTAATGGCGTATGCCTTATGAACGGTTTTTGCCTTCACATGACTGACGGCCTCCTATGGACAATGATTCCGGTTTCACAAGTGGACTTCAGGGAGCAGGGTGCTAGGTTCCGGAAGCGAAGAATATAATTACGCCGCGGTGCCACAGTGCTTGGTAGACTGTTCTGTTGATGTCTGGCATGCACATGGGGCAACGCATCCGGATAGGAACACAGAAACATTCTACTTGGCCAAAATGCACTCCCCCAATCCAAGCCAAAGATAGTAAACAAATATCATGAGTGAACAAGCCAGAGTAGTTTGATCTTTGGCTGAAAATGCAAAACAAGTCCTAGATAGGAGTTCAATTTGCCATCGGTCAGTGGATTCAGGAAGACGATCTACCAAACTTGGTGCTTGTTTACTTCCCATGTGTTCGTCGGTCATGCTTGAGTCGGAGGGCAACTGGCGAGTCCGTGCCGCACCTGGAGTCCGCTCATGCAGAGAAGAACGAGACATTCCGGAATCCTCCGATGGATGGTGTCCAGAGATTGGCCCTAATTGGGGGTACTCGGGTACTGAGCGGCCGGAGTGTGGAGTGTGTGGAGTGTGGAGAGTGTGGAGTATGGACGGCACAAGCATCTTGATTCTTGGTCCATCAATTTCCCTGTTTCTATCATTTTTATCCGATATCGTATTTTCCTATGAGGAATTCCAATCCGGAGGCTTTCTTTTTTGGGACCCCATCCGGGAGTGGAGAATGCAGTTCCGACTTGGAACCAATAAGAATCCCCCTTTGGAACTCCAAATGGTCTTCCAAATGTACCAGTATGTGTATGTTAGTATGTACCAGTGATTCAATCGATTAGACCAGGACCTTCAAAGAGGTGTCCAATGGAAATCCCTAAGTAGTGTAGGGGCATCCATTGGCGCCACCAATTGAAGGTGCTGGTAGATCTACTATTTTGTGGGTGTAAGTGCCAGTGCCCGGTTCAAACCATTGGTGATTGCTTTCCTCCCACAGTACTACTACCTCGACATCGCGCCAGTGCGAGGTACCTTTGCCAGTGCTGGTGCCAAAGGAGAGCTTGTCCAAAGGGGCCAATGAGGCACAACAAGAGGCGCTCGAAACGCTGTCGAGCTGTCTACGGGGACTGTTTGGGAGGTCACTTTTTGGTTCCATGTCTTAGCTGAACAAATTATTTGGGATGCATGTTTGTTGGAAATTTGCTATTTCATCTTTCTTGAGACATTGGCTACGTATAATTACTATATAGACAGTTTTCCGTGTTTGGGGGAGATTCCCATGCCGCTTTGGAGACAAAGAACCCTAGTTTCAAGCCGGCAGGTGGTTGTTTTTGACTGGCCGAAACAAGCCAAGAGAGGTTGAGTGAGGGCCGTAACCTGGGGTGCCTATGGGATAGTCTATAGTCCTTCGACCTTTGTTGGTGAGGAGAACTCCCTGCTTCTAGAGAATGTCTTTCACAATAAACGGACTATGGTTGAGGTTTGCTTTTGACAAAGGGGGTGATCTTTCCCCTTTGGGGAATTCGATTCTAGCAAATCGATACAAAGTATTTTGTTCATGGATTTATTGAGCAAGTTCACACCGGTGTGCTTGGTGAAAACAATTACCCTGTCCAGACCTCCAACTGTTTGTGGAGATTAATTCCTTTAATGAAATGAAGCTCGTGGGAAATGGTGCGGAAACTGCAGGGGCCAGTATGCTCGACAATACTCTTTTGTTTGTAGGGCTTGCTTCCAGCCAGCTCAATTCCCTTTCCCAACTTAACCCGGGTGTGCCATGCCAGGTGCCAGCGCAGGCGGGGCAAAGGGAATTAGGCTGATCTTTTGAGTGTTTTGGTCCAGACCCTATAGATACACATACCCTTTGAGAGGTTGACTCACATCATGGTCACGTTTTTACGGAATGGGATCAAATTGTTCCCGCAAATTCAGAAGCGGTTCTGTAGGGAGCAATTGCCTTTGAGGGTGGAATTCGTGGTGAGAAGACTGATTTGCATAGATGGGGGAGACACACACACTCTCTCTCTCTCTCTTGTGCTTTCTCGGTTGTGCGCCGGAGCACGAACGGAAGCAGCTTCTCAGTAGCAACGTACTCGCACCGCAGCATCAGCTGAGTGCTTCTTTTGAGCTAGCACAGAGAGCACTCTACTTCCAGGCAAATTCCAGCGAACAACAACAGATCGTCGGTTTAGTTGGCATGGAGCAGGCAGTCTTGCGTTTTTGCCTAAGCGGTGTGTGGTCAAAAGCACACACCGGTTGTTTCAGGTCAACGGACAATCTACAGGAAAGCCATAGTTTTGGGGGTGAAACATGGTTTCCTGCAGATTTTTCCCTTGAATCAAGTCATTGATTGACCGGAGTCTTTTTGTTTTCCAAGTTGTTGCCCCGCCGAATGGGGCGAATGACCCGACATTGGGAAACGTTTTTACGAACAAGGAGGCTGTGTTCTCAAATGTTTATGGCATGTTCTGATACCATTTCTTTGTCAAGGTAACGGCAGCAGCAGCTGCGTGGCCATGTTTTTTTTCCGTCTTTTGGGATACAAGGCATGCGTGATGAGATGGCCTTTCAGCATGCCAAAAACACCTGAAGAGTGTCGCAGCATAAGGGGTCATGGACTCTCTGAAAGATCATATAGAGTGTCCCCCATTCTTGGGGACACTGCAATTGGTGCTCTCCTGCCTGCCTCAGAGATGCTTAAACCGGTCAGAGATGCTTGAACTTGCCTCACTGATGCCAGAGCAAGAACCGCTAGAAACCACCCGGTATCACGGCCCTGATGGTGGAACTATGGTCACCTGACACCGTACATGTCGAGGAAACAGAGCGTTCAGAAGCCGAAGCGCAACTTTTGCTCAAGTATGCATCCTTCATTTCCACTTGCATGAGAACAGATACACCTTGGAATAATATGTCCAGTCTTCCTGCACTGTTCAACCCAGCTGGTAAGGAGGTGTCCAGAGCACACCAGCCTTTGATTCGAACTAAAACCTGATCTCCAGGGCACGTGAGCCTCCAACTCGCATGCGACTTGGAACTCGAACTGGATGAGTTGGAGCCGCCGACAAGGGGCATGGTTTACCTTGTGGATTTCTCCCACAAAGCTTGGTCGTTTGTTCTTGGAAGGTGTTCAATCACCCTGTTCACGGTTTGACCTTACAGGCTGCTATCCGTTTTCCTGGTTGTGAATCGTTGAGACTCATTAGCTTTTGACCCAGCAGTCGTTTTTCTGGCCTTGAAGAATGATGGAAGACTTCAGTGAGGGAACGACTCGCTTCTTCATGAGTAGGACGAGCAGACGAAGGGAACCGGAGTGATGTCTCGCGTTCGTCGCGCAGGCGACGGCCCACGGCAGCAAGGGTCCGGCAACCCAGAGGGGGAAGCGCAGAGGCATGCCGTTTCAGGAGGGGAAGCCTGAAAAAAAAATTATGGAAGTGATTTTTTGATGAACAAACTGATCTCTGTTTATACATACACACCAGATCACACCAGAGCTCTAAGATGTATATACACATTGCTTTTTCCATCACGTATCACTTTTTTGTTAATACATACATCACTATACACTGCAGGCAAAAGGTGTATTGTTTTAAACGAACACACCTCGGAGCCGCCAGACGGCCTCGGGGTCGAACGCTCAGGCCCGTCCGAACGGGGCGACGCAATCGGCGACAGAGCCGAAGATGGGAAGATGGTGAAGGATCTGAAACCGGTTCACGGTCGACGTGGCGTGGTACGGTCGACGTCCAATGAGAATATGCCCACGACTATAGGATACTATAGGTCTTCAAATGTTCGTTGGCTTAGGATGCTTAAACCAACCAACCAACCAACCGAATCTTTTCATGTGTTAACCTGTCATGTGTTTCCATTGGTCTGAGCCGGACACTTTCCCGGCCTGAGATTTTCTTCATGAGACGTCCGTGTCGTGTGCTCAGGAATTCAATGCTAGTCCGAGTCGTTTTGCAAGGAGACATGCCCCCGCAAACCGTGCAAAGTCCCAAAGAACGGCTCGGCTCACCTGGTGCTACCATCTAAAAACCCTTAAGAGAAAAAAGACGTGCCTTCAGTAGGCACCAGGCACCATGTGGTATTTTCCACTATACCCACCTGGTGAAGAGGGTGGAAGCGCCCAGACTGCTCAGACCGCTTCACGTTTCTGAGGCCCGTCAAATGCCAAGCCGGACTCCGCCAGTAAAATGGACCAGTGACCACCGCAACGCTGTGATGGTTTGCTCGGAAGCATGACGCCAGAAAGCAGGGTTTGATGCAGACTCGTGCATGGACGTGTAGAAGAATGGTGCCACCAAAAGATTACCCCAGAAGAAGATCACATCAACTTAAACGCAGTGGTTCGAATGCGCAATTACTGTAAATGTTGCCATGCAATTGTCAGTTTCAAAGGTAAAGAAAAGTCGAGGCTTGCCGCAGCAAGAAGTTCTTCCTCAAGATATTTTTGACCAAGCAGCATCAAACAACTGCCAGGACCTTCAAGATGGCATCAAACAACTGCCATTGCTGATTGCAGCGGTCGTTCGTTCCGACTATGAAGACAGCCCAACTTGGCTTTCTCCACGGTATAGCGCTAATGATGTGACGCGGCAGGTCAGCCACTGTCCGAGCGGCAAAGATTCTCTCAAGACGATCTTGACGCAAAACGCTGAGGGGGTTTGGAGAGCTTAGTCCAGATCGCGGAGATCGGAAGAGAGGCATATCTCTCATGGCAGCCGGCAGCACCGAAAAACAACACTATAATAGTAGTTTGCCGCCTTTGAAAAGAGATGTTTGCGCCTCGCATGGCGCCATTTGCGCCATCATTTAAGCCTGCCATGTAGGGAATTGGCTGTTGGAGAGGTACTTTGAGTCGATGTGTCTTCTTCATTCTTACAGGGCCATGTGCTGGCCACTTTGGCAAGTCTTGGAGTGGGATGGTCTCGATGCAAATTTGCTTTATTGCCCGGAACCTGGCAAACTTGTTAGGCTTTCGGACATTCAGTGCCTTCAGCAACATGTTTGACAGTGCATTCATTGGCAAACCAGTGGTGCCAAACCTTGCCACGGGTCACCGGTGTGGTCTTCGTACGTTTGCTGTTCAGCACTTCAGGGGTCAATGTGTGCAGCTTGTTGGTGCTCGACATGGTGCTCATTGTGCAAGAGCTGAATGTCTTAGGCTGGCAACCTTCTCTTTGAAGGCCCTTCCAGGGTAGCATTTGGCCAACCCCAATAGAAGCTGGCCGCAATATTCAGGTAAACACAAATCTGCAGGCCTTAGCTCAGGCCACACCCAAAAGATCCCAAAAGGGTAGCATTTGACCAACTCCACTTCCAGGGTAGCATTGTACAGATCATTGTTGAACTGCATCATTTGGCAATACCTCCATCAGATGTGTTTGATTTAAATCTCGAATCAAATTTCCACCCTGCAAGGTAAACCGCGAATCAAGAGGACCAAGATTCCATGAGTACCGGCTTGGGTATCACTAACTTGCCTCCAGTCACGTCAGAAACAAAACAAAACACAACCATGTGCAATTCTTTCACCCCGACATGTGTAGTTTTGAGGGTTTGGGGGTTTGCCAAACTCACTGCAGGTGTATCCCCACAAAAATCACAAAAATGAGCTCTCAGCACTGCTTGCTGTAGAAACTCAATCTTTTTGAGGGGACCTATACTATATAGGAGCTCTCTCTAAAAAGGTTTGTGGGCTTGTTTGAAGGGCGATTGCGGCTTCCATGCCTTCCATGCCGGGGTCTCCCTTCCATCCCGTCCAACTCCCAACAACTTCTTTCCCAGTCGTGGTTCCAGACGCCCCACCCGTACGTGTTGGGTCGCAGCATCACTTCAACCGGAAGGGTCGCAACATGCTACGCCATGCCCCACTCGTCTAACCTGAGGAGGGTCGGCGCGGCCACAGTAATCCTGGGACCCGTATACGGGTATATGATTCATGGACACCCCTACTACTCACTCCGTAGTGCTAAAACACCATCGGTCAGACACCGATCTGTGGTCAGACACCGATGGTGGCTTCACTCGCGACGAGGTACCTGAAAGGCTTCAAGGATCAGGACCTCAATTGTCCGGGTCGCCCGAAGACATCGCCTCTCCGCCTCTCCACCGCCCCACATCCCGTCGATGGCGAGCGAGCGAGCGAGCAAGCGGGTCGGGGGTTGGGTGTCAACGCACCGGTGATAGGACAGTACTGATAGGCGATCCATTTGATCTTAATTCAATTAATGTGACATTAATGTGCAAGATATTGCGTCCGGACACTCAGGATTCTGTACATGAAACTTGACTTCGATGAGCGTGTCAATGACCCGCACGCTGTGGAGTGGATGGTCGCAAGACACCGCCTGTCGACCCCGCATTCACCACAAGGACCCCTCACAACCTTGTGACTTTGAGAATCTAAGGTCAGAAAAAAGCACTTTTGATCTCTCAAAATGAATCTTTTCATTTTGAAGGAAAGTGGACACACCAGGCATCGCTGGACTTGCGCCCGCACCGGCGCGGCACTTCTTTTGAGGCCTCCTGGAAGAGATCTCACAGACGGACACCTTCCCAGAAGGCTCGGGTGATCTGGGAGGAGTTGCGACTTCCGTCACGTCGGCATGCGGCGGGTGAAACACGAACGCTTCACGCTGCTCTTTCCGTTGAGGCGATGAGTTCGTGTGGCCGCCCAAGAGGGAGGCTGGGGCCCCAGAGGGAGGTGGGGGATGTGCTCCTCTCAGGAAAGCACGTATTCAGGGCGTGGAAAAGCGGGTGGTGTCGGTTTGTGGGAAAAACAACCGGTGTTTTGGGTGGCTAAAGTGCGCTAGCCAAGAAGAGCCCAGCTGGTGCAAGGAAGATTCTCGCTCATTGATTTGCAATTGGGTTAAATGACAGACTCCCCATCGGCAGAGAAGTAATCGGCTGTGTATACTAATCAGGCTTTGCGACCAAGAAAGCAGCCCCACAGTTCCTCAATCAATCCATTATGACTGACCAACTGACATCTTTCGGATGTCCATTTCTGAGTCGATATGTTTGCTCCAAAGGTGGTTGTGAGCCACATCGACGAACCTTTGGGGGATCGTTTTGCATTTGCGGATTGTGGATCATGCTACCTTCAACTTCCGCAGTGCTCTCTCAGATCATGTTTGGCACATGTCCGGGGCCTGTCAAGAGCACCAAGCTGGGTGACAAGGCCGGAAAAGCAAGGTCCGTCTCAGAGTGTCTCCAACCAGGTGATGGATTCGGAACTGTTACTGTAATTCATCATTTTTACCCTCCCTCCAACAATCATGGGGCCCTGCACCACTGAGAGTGCCGCACGCTGGGTGGTGCCGTGGGAGAAAGACATTACACCTCCGAAAAACCGCAGGGCCCTTCAACTCATCCGTCGCCTCAAATCTAGCCCGCTCGAAAAAAGGTGTTGCATGCATCGCAACCTTGTGAAAGTGTCCCAAAAAAACCGTCCAACGTCGACATGTGTGTTTCTATTTGCCCGATGAAAAAAGGGGGCTTAAGTGTTCCTCCATCACCCCGACGACGACGCCGCTGCACCCGCAACTCGAGACCGCGACCGCTCAACTCCCGCAACCCGCAACCCGCTATACCGCTGCACCGGGCAAGGTCGCTTTACCGCCCATCGCCGCCAAAGGTCCGGCGGTCCGGAGGGGGTTGAAGGTGTGAGGACAAGGCTGTATGGGCATGGCCGACATTTGCCAGGTCCTTGAGCAGCAGACACATGATCTCACCCATATTCTTGACAAGAGCTTATACCATGAAGCAAACACTCCCCTTCACCAGATTCTTCCCTTTCAGTGTGAACGCCAAACTTGCCCCATCCCTGATCTATAGGGGCGCGACCGCGCGACCGCGCGACCGGGGCACTTGCGCGGACCGTTCTCTACAGGTGAGGCCTTCATCAAAGCGCTGGTCCGTGGCGACAGCCCAGATCCACAGCTGACGAGGGTGGCGACCCGGCCAAACCGTCCCGACCCACGTCCCACGTGGAGAGGTTCATGGTGGATGGGGCAATTTCCGGTATGGCATGGGAGAGTTGTGACACCTGTTTAGACAAGACCAAAAACTGTTTTGAGTGGTGCAATTAGTAGTTCAGTCCAATCTTGCTGTCCAGTTGCCCACATCCCGCCACACGGGAATTTGGCAAAGCAGCCGAAATGAATGCAATGACAAGTAATGGTGGTAGACTAAACATATCAAACGAGGGACAGGTAGGGACAAGATGGGACAAGTAGTGTGTGTTTGAGAAGGGTTCCATTTGGTATCTTGCTTCTACCCAGCCTGGAACCTTAAACAAATGTTGGTTCAAAAACAATGTTGACATGGTTGTTTATAAAGACGTATTGCCTCTCCATCCTTCTCCAGGACACAGAGCTGCTTCTTCCGAAGTCAAGGATCATCGTGCTTGGAGACAACACGTTCACACCAGTCCGTGGGACAGTCAGCTGAAGTCAATTTCATTGATCCTCCCGCAAACCATGTGTCAAACCGAACCCAATGCGTTGCCGGGGGCATTTCCTTCAGCCAACAACTGGTCCTCCCAGTCAGACGTCTTACCCGCCTCCGGCCACGATGGTGTCACGTGGGCTACGAAAGACACCCCTTTTGGGGCGAAAAGGGCGTCAGAATGTGTTTTTTTGTTCGGCGGCCATGGTGTGCGCACCTTTGCGCGTTCAGTCATGGTACCTGAAGTCTCAAAGTACCCCGGAAAATTGGTACAATATCGTTTACCCATTTTCTAGGGTACTTTTGAGGGTTCAGGTACAGGCGTTTCGGTCACCCATACCTTCACCATGCACATGGGCGGTTTGTCCTGTGGGGTTTCTGGGCGAGCGGCTTCTCCTGATTTTGGTGGGTTTATTTTCGATCGACTTCTCTTTTCAAGATGTCTCACTCCAGAGCACGCCCAAGGAGAATTTGAAGAGAAGTGGATACGCACCTTGGATGGCATGAAGTTTGTGTATCCTATGGAACCGGTCTAGACCGGGTCCCAGCACGTTGCCCAACCGGATGAAACAGACCCTGCCGGGATCGTAGGGAGAAGGAGGATCCGATCCCTTGCACCGGTCCAGACCTGGCGAAATCCCGACGCTGGAGGGGTCGGACCCGACTCCTGGAGGGGTGGAGGGGTCGGACTGCATCTCGGGTGTTTGAGGGGAAAGGGCGGTCTGGAGCGTCCCATCCAATCCTCCACCTGCCGGTTGAATCGATTCGGCATTCGTCTGCCGCGTTCGGGCGCAGGAACGGAGCCGCAGCTTGCCCACCGGCCGAAGAAGCCCGGCGTTGTAGGCCGCTTGACCGCGCGTGACTCCCCAGAAGCAGCCGGCTGAGTCGAACTGAGCTGACGGACCTGCAGGAGGGTCTTCAAAGAAGCATCCAGAAACATGTGGAAAGTAAACAGTTTCTTCTCCCAAGCACCAGTTGAGACATTCTTCACCCGACTCATACTCATCCTCACATTGAAAAAGGAGCTGGATAGACATGACCTTTCAACACTCCAATCGATAGCGGGAAATGAACAGACACCAGGAGTCACAGAGCTTGGGGTGGTTTTCAGTCCCATCCAGTGAGTGGAGTAGCTGGGCACCCCGACTACCTCCATGGATAGCACCCCATCGAATGTGACTGCTGGTAGATTGTGGCGCCAAAACAAATAGCTGCTGGCCAGTGGCACGGTGGAAGCGAAGCTCATGTGGTCGAAGACTTGGATGAAGTGTCAGACGGGTCCTTCTTCAGACTGGATCAATCTCTGGCATGTGCACAGTCTGTGTGTGTGTGTGTCACAAGCCGTTCGCATTCACGGGGCTTGGATTTAACTCACTTCGTGGCACAGTCGCAGGGGGCACCTGAAGCAGAGATAGGGCAGGTGCCAACGAAGACACCTATCTTTTGCTTGTGATATCGACGGGAGACGTCCTGTCGACGTACCTGCAGCCGATGACACAAAACTGTTCGTTGTTCCCAGGTCTTCCTTTCGCAGGGCCATTTCTGAGGTTTCAGGTCATTTTGCATCAGTCGGGTAATGCAGTACAGTAATTAATTAGACCGTATATATATATAATAACTGTTAATATCCTTTAATGCACTCTTGGTCTTAGAGGCCTTTCTCGTGTGTGTGTGTGTTTTAATTTTGGTGGTGGAATTATATAAATAGGCTTCACCGGTACCAACTAACAAGTGGCCTTGGAAGATGACTGTCCCATTTGGAGGGTGGAACCATGTTCCCTACAGATCCCAAGACCTCATTGTACTGGAGCTGGACACACAAAAGACGCTACTCCATGAGGTAAAGGGCCAGGCTTTAGGATTTAGAGGGGAAGGGCAGCACCAGGGTGCAAGAAACATGGGTGGCCGAGCAAATCAGTTGATCACTTTCCACTGGCTTCGCTTCGCATAGCTGTCAGGCAGTGACTCCCTGCGAAGACCGCGAGGAACATACTGCCGGTGGCTGAGTCATTGGAATGGGAGGGGCCTACTAGATGAATTGAACGATGGCATGCTTTGGACACCAGAGCAAGAAGCAGGGACTTGGGACTCACGCAAATACTATTAAAAGACCTTTGGGAGTCGCGGTGTCCATTTGCAGGATTCCTTTCAAGGTGGTGCGTCACACAGAAAAGGGGACGTGATGGGTGTGGGCATTGACTCTCCATTGAACCTTTGCTTGTCATCCAATGCTTCCATTGACTTTGCTGGGCCCCAAAACTCACCTGTTCGTCAGTGCGTCATTCGTAGTTGAAAACGTGGATCCCCTTTTGCTGCCATTTGCTGAGGTGGATGGTAATGTTAACCACTATAGGAAAATCTTTCAGGACCCGCAGTGGTGGACCCCCTAGTTTAAGTTAGACCCAGGTGTGGTTCTGGTTGTCCCTCTTTTTTAAATGTTCTTCCTTCGTGTGTCGTTCGCATCGCGCTTGGTTAGGGACATCCTCCAACGAAGATAATTTACACTTAGGTCATTGACAAAACCCTGGTGAGAACGATGACACCCTACCCAACTCACTGCTGCAACGTGCATGTGCTGTTCATGGGGTTACGGTGTGATTAACCGATAAAACGACAAAAGATATTCTCATACCACCAGAAAAGGAAAGCAATTACCAATCTTACCAATCACCGGATCAACAAAGCAAAAATAACACGGTTGGCACGTTGCAGGTCAGTCTGCTGTACCGCAGGTCCTCGTGATGCGGAGTGATCGAACTTCATCCCCACGTTTGAGGTCACTTGAGGTCCCTGCAGTCCACGCCTTTCACCAAGGAACCGTCCCCAAAAAGCTCGAGGTTTCTAGCATTCATGTAGACTCTTGATTCAACCCCCCCATGTCCATGGATTGCACCTCTTCTGGCCTAAGGGGGGTGAATTATCAATCAATTAAGTTCAATCTACATCCAGGAGGTCACATGTCGGGGTGGTGTTTAGTTCCATCCAGTGAGTGGATCATGCATACCCCGACTACCTCCATGGATAGCATCCCGTCGAACGTGACTGCTGGATGGTCTACATGACGGGGTCGAGGCCGAGCGTTTTCGAAGGTCGACGAAGACGCTAGCGCTTTCGCACGTGGTCATGGACTCGTTGGAAAGGACCTATTCCGGACCATCCATATTTTCATCATGCTTGGACATATGCAGTAGCTTTACTATCCCTACCCCCATAATGCTCTGCAAATGGGGGGTTCTCCAGGAAATATAAGTTACATTTTTATAATAGGGGGGTGGGGGGTCAAAAAATGCAAGTTACACAAGGGTCATAAGGGCCATGAGTATGGAATACAGTAATTCTATGATATTCTATGTAGCTATTCCAGCAGTTCCGTGGTCTGGGTAGGTTCGTCCATCACCCCAATCGGGGCCACCGCTTGGTGTGGACTTGCAACGCTTTTCCGAGCCAGTGAGCCACATGTTTTTCAATACGTGCACCCTGTGTTGGAATATTTGATCTAGTTTCACTACTCAAACATTCACAAACTGTATACCCCAACCGATGGGCCAGAGTCAGCATGAAGCTTGTATGGGTTAGCCACGTCATTGGATTTGAAGGTCAAGAGAGCTGTAGTAGATGCATTCGACATAGATCAAAATTGATGTCACCACTGATCATCGCACCAGTTGTTTTCGTGCAGGGCTTTTCCACTTACTTGGCACAGCTTGGGATAAGGACACTCTAACCTTGCGGCCTATAATAGTTTTCACCAAGCTTTCCGGAAAAACAAAAGAGAGAAAAATCACTCGACACAGCTAGCAGCTAGGTTTTTGAAACATCTCCAACAGGAAAAGGTGGAGACTTCAGGACCCATATATCGCCAACAAGACTTCAGTAGAACTGGTCAGACCCGGTTCTAGCCCGTTTCAGTCTCACCGGAGGAATCCGATGGGACCTGGGAGGATGCACCCACACACGAGCTCAGCATGAGCTCCGAGCCAGTTGACCCAATAGAAGTCTTCTTCAGACCCCTTTTGGAGTTAAGCTGCACTAAGCTGCTTAACTGCTTACCT